ATACGAATTCCCGATGCCGATAACCATTCAACCAACATGCTCTATTTATTCCTCACCAATAATTTAGCACCTCACTCATCTCCACAATTTGTCCATGTTTCATTCTATCAGCTGCTCCAGCACCTCCACATCTTGTAAGGCTTTATAATTCAGACTGGGACGTTCTCTGCATGTTTTTCTCCGAGTTTCCTTGATCACAGAATATGATTTGATCCTGATGATCCTTCACAGTGTGCTGCGGAAATATCTGATATCAACACGCTTGGAATGGACACTTACATACCTCTCTCTTTTCCTGACGAAAGTATTCATCTGAAGACTTTTCTTCCGGAGATTGAAGCAGAAACTTCTTTAAAATTAGTTCAATTTTCCCAATACACATATTTGTTTTCGAATTTGTTTCTCAATAGTGATCACAAATGCGAGTGATGAACTTCAACTTTGAAGAGGGGAAAGACCTACTTGAAAATTCGATAGCATATTAAAAATTGTACTTTACTACTACAAGAATTTGCTTCGATTAAAGCAAAGAAACAATTTTTTTTTAATTTTTATCTTATGTTCTAAGTTGCGTATTTACCTATCATCAAAATGTGCGGTGACTACTTTACCATAACACAGATAAGGCCCGGGCCTTGCTCCCAATGGAAAGTGGGCCCCGAAAAAAAGCTTGAAAAAAAAAATTATATGCTATACCAGTTAAAATATAATTATTGAAATAAGCCGAATCTGATCAATTAAATTAGATTTTCAGTTATGTGAAAAAAAGTTAATTTTTGCAAAATCTCTATTTTTTCTACGTTATTATTGGAGATACAGAAAATCTGGAAATGCTTTTCGACAGAAATTTTGGATTTAATTGAGATTCAACATACTGATATTGGATATTGATTTCTCTATTCAACGTTTCGTATTTGTAGAACCATCGTCATTTTTTTAATAAGGCTCTGATCAAGTGCACATATTCGGAATACAGCCATATATATAATACATGTGGTTTGAATGTGTTTCAACCCATTTTCAGTCATCATCAATGGAATTTCGAAATCCCAAATGAAAAATATTATTAGATTTACTTTTCGTTTGATTAATAATTATTCTATATTTAATTCATTGTCCCCAGAAGCAGGAAGTTCTTTCATTTTGTGTAGTTATTTTGTTTGTTTTTTTTTATCAATTTTCTAAAATAATTATTGAAATGTACAGGGTGGCCAACTCATAATCCGAGGTACTGTATCTGGAAAACAATCCATCAGGCTCCAGGCAAAAAACGTTATAGCTAAACCGGCCAAGAGAAAAAGCTGGAAAATATTTTCAAGCTTCTGAAATGGCCGCTTGGTAGCGTACCAGCAATCTTGAATCTGAAAAAATTGGTGTTTCTGTGAATTCCGCTATATTCACCTAACAAAAAATACCTGATCTCCAAGTAGAGGGTTATTTGAACCTTTTTTCATTGGCCAATTTTTGTTGTATCTCTGAAAATAAAGTGGTGGAGAGTATTTGAAGGTTTCCGTGAAAAACAACGTGTATCGTCGAAGCGGCTGAGCCTCTTGGGCTTCAAATATTATAACATTTTTGGTTTTGATAGTTTCACATGTCTCCGTTAGAGGGCTTTTTTCGACATTCCGACAAAAATCGTTGATTTTCTCAAAAATTTTTCAATTATGAATGCCTAAACAAGCTAAATTTAGGCCAAAGAAAATTTAATAGGGAAATCCCACAAATTTTCATTTTTCCAAACTAATTATCTTCTTCAATATATATTTGTGGCCCTAAAAAGGAACGATTTGAAAAAAAATTGATTTCTAATGCCCCCGTAAATGCAGCATCTTCAATTTCGCCTCTCGGTATATTACGCATTTCATTACAAATTCGGTTTTTCATATCTTCTCTGGTCGCGGGTTGAGTCTGAAAGACGATGTCCTTTAACCGCTCCTATAAATAAAAATCAAGACAAGTCAAGTCTGGTGATCGCGGAGGCCATGGAAACAAACTTCTTATAATCCACCGCTGTTGAAATACTGCATCAATTAAATCTTGAAATTCTTGAACAATAATAGCAAAATGCGCTGGGCATCAATTCAACTGCAAAAACAACAGTAATTGATTGGCCAAGGAGTCAAAAAAGATATTGCCATTTAGGGATTGCTCGAAAAAATATGGCCCAATAATTCTGCCTCCCAGTGTGCCACACCACAAATTCAAACTCCAACGTCCTTGGTGCTGGACTTTATGCAACTAATGCGGATTTCTGCAGACCAATGATGAATATTGTGCAAATTGACTCTTCCGTCACTATTAATGGTCCAAAGAAATTGAAAATAAAAATTCTCTATTTTCGCGTATTATTGGTCAGCCAAAATTCCGCTTTGTTGTTGAAAGATGTGCCACTGGAGTTGGATGGTTGCCCAGCACGTTTTGCTTTTATTGTGCAAGAGTTTATTGATGCAGTATTTCAACAGCGGTGGATTATAAGACGTCCCTTATATAAGACAAAGTTTGTTTCCATGGCCTCCGCGATCATCAGACTCAACTTTTCTTGATTTCTATTTATAGGGACGTTAAGAGACATCGTGTGTCAGACTCAAAATACGATCAGAGAAGATATGAAAAATCGGATTCCTAATGAAATTGGTAACATACCGAGAGCCAAAATTAAACCTGCATCATACACGGGGGCATTTTTTTTTTTTTTTTTTTTCGCCGAGGTGGTTGAAATCTTTTATAGACATCATATGGGTCCAATCCCCCATATGATAGTGTGGGAGTCCCCTCCATGGTATACCCACTAAACACTCCACCCCGTTGTAGGCTCCGACGACACTTAGGCCTAGTGGCCCATTGTATCTCACCTACATGCCGTTATCAATTTTACCACATACGACTCATGGTGCCTATTAAGGGACACTTCAATATGAAAGACCCTTTTCGTTCAGGTTCCTGAAGATTGCTCTTTCGATCCCTGTTCTCGTCTACGAAGAAGGCAAAAAGTTTTCCTTCTCCTACGAGTGACGGGGGAAGGGGTTGGTCCAGCCCTGTGGTGCCCCCTGCACAGGGCTAAGGCTGTTTACTCTGGGATGTCGCCCTGTTTCCCAGAGGCCCCGTTAGCGACACCATTCCTCGGTGCCATCCATCCATCGCCACGGGTTCCCACAGCTTGGATTAGGTTGCCAGAGCCTCGTTGACCAGTCCTCGACCACCTAGACAAACATCAGCAAATCGCCCCATCCCTGCCACAGATGTCCACAAATTGTCCCATCTAGTCCAGAGATAGCAAAGATGGTCCCGAAATGCTTCATCCGTCGAGCGGCCGCGGTCTGTCCTCCCCACACCACTTGATGGTGAGGTTGGGCTTGGAGGGGAAGAGGAAAAGAGAAGTTAGCCAAGAAAGGCCGATAGAAAGATTGAAAATGGAAGAGAGAAGAGGATATCACCTAAGACGAGTTGAAGTATGGTGAATATCCGGCTAGGGTACCTCGGGTTCACCATTCCCGTACTCACAAGTTGTGAGCCCCTGAGGGGATCGCCAGAGCCTCGTTATCAATCCGCGGCCACATAAGCAGATTTTCACAAATTGCCCCATCCTCGCACTCAGATGTCCACAAAACTGTCCCATCTGAGTGATGATAGCAAAGATGTTCCCAAAATGCTCAATCTGCCGAGCAGCCGCGGCTTGTCCTCCCCGCACAATGGTGAGGTTGGGCTTTAGGGGAGAAGGAAAAGAGGAGAAGTGACCAAGGGAGGCCGATGAAGAAAAAGATTGGAAACTGAAGAGTGAAGAGGATACCATCAAAGACAAGTTGAAGATTAATGAGTATCCGGCTAGGGTACCTCGGGATTGCCATTCCCGTACTCACAAGTCGTGAGCCCCTGAGGGGACACGGGGGCATTAGAAACCTTGTTTTTTCAAATCGGCCTTTTCAAGCGCCACAACTTATGTAACAAAAAAAAATTAGGTAAAAAAAATCGAAATTCAAGGGATTTCCGTATATAATTTTCTTTGGACTAAATTTTAGGCTGCGGTTTTACACTATTAATCCTACATAGCATCGATTTTTTTTAACCCTTTACGGCCATACCAGACATTCCGATCAGTATTAAATGATGTAATAGCACTAGAATCTGGTAGGAGATATTGATCTATTAATTGATATTGTTCTCACAATGGGGTTCAGCACCCAAACATATGCTGATGCTTTCAGATTCCATCCAGAGAAGAGCCATTCACCTGGTGGGTGATGCTTACTCACATATTCTTTGACATCATTATGACACCGTAGAAAATTCGGCGACCTTTAACTTTTCCATAGATACTTTCACGGGAAATGCTCATCAGAAATATCTTCTATCATTCCCTCATTAGCAATCCAGCCAGACGAACTTGACAAACCCAGTCAGCACATCCTTTCTTTGTCAACCTTGAAATATGTGGAACATATCTTTACCAAAACTTGTTTGTCTATAGAACAGCAAAGCCTCGAAATTCTTTGCCAAAGGAAGTATTCCCAAGAGCTTATAACTCGACTTATAAGCTCTGAAAATTGAAAAAAAATTCAATACCAACCCTCTCTCCATATCCTTCCTAGGTACGCACGATGTTCTCCGAACATTATAAAGATTTCCTTTCATGCACTCCAAGAGATAAAAAAAAAGTTAGTTCTGTTTTCCTTATTTGCTATAGAAAATAACACGTTGCCCCATCTGACGCCAACAACTAGAACACTTCTGAGCTGTTTGCTTTGATGGTATGACCAATGAGCACAAACAAAAAACAAATGCCAACCAATGAAAACAAAGTAAACAGGGCGCTTTGACAGCTTTAAAGAACTCCAATAGGTGGCGTACGCTTATTTTCTTTGGTGAATTGAGGTAGTTTTCTTAAAATTTAAACCCTTCTTGTTTTAATGAGTTGGTTCTTACTGGTATGACCTATTGGTTACAAAATTATGGAGGAATAAAACACTATTTATGCATAGGTTTATAGAGCATTGAAAACTCACCAATAGTTGTTTACAAGATGGTTCACCAAAATTGTTGATCCTTTCTGATATCAAACACCATTGTTTAATAGTTAAATAAGGATGTAAAAAAGTTAGATTGCATAGAGCAAAATTATTGTCTGGGGTCCCAATACTCTTGTCTTCATCAGATGAGTAATATTTCAATAGCATTTTCATCTCTGCCCAATAAAAAGAAATTTTCAAAAAAGATCTCATCATGACATGATTCTGAAAAAAATATAAGCCAATATAATGAGTCTAACTATTATATTGAAAACATACATGTTCTTTGTTCAAAACATTGGTTGCAAATTTTTTCAACAAGTCTTCTAAATCCTGGAGACATTTTTCCGTTTTTTCCACAACTGTAGATGTAACTGTATGCTCAGCAACTCTAATGCTGGATAGAAAAGTACCAGTCAATTCACTTAAAATATGGATATTAATACACAAGATTGAGTTACCTGAAATGAAAATACCTTGTAATGAGTTGAGCAGGACAAAAATACAATGCTTACTTTCTTGACTGTTTTGTACTGCTTCTAGGGCTCTTTTCAAAGAAAATAGGAGGGTTTTGAAGATATTTATAACTTGCCAACTTGCAAGACTCCTGATACACTGACTAAATGTGGATAATATATTTTCAGTGAAAATATTTACAGTAATTAATTCTAACTGCTCTTTTTTTACAAATGAGTATTCTTCTTTTTCCCAGATGGTCCCATCATTGACTAATCCATTCAAAGTTCCAACTATTTTGGATACCAAATTTTCTATTCTATGTAATTTGGAATAAATACTGAACATCAAGATAACAAGTTCCTCATATTCCGTTTTGTGATCTTCTATATCAGCCATAATGGAATAAACTATTATTTGTTCTGTCAATGCCTGTACTATCAATGGGTCAATCTTTATTATTTTTGAAATGATCAAACAACTAATACTAGAAGGTTTATTCCTGAATATATGACTACTTAAAAGCATATTCAAGTATGTTGTTAAAGTGATAGTATTGACATTACAACTCAAGTCATATTTGGTTTCTCCTAATACTTCCAGTAATCCCAGAACAACATCTTGTGGTTTTTCTATGAACACAGATGATTTATATGTATCCAATGCCTCAAATTGATGAAAAACAATTTTCTTATTCATATCAAAACCAATTAAATAAAGCAAGATTATAAGAAACTTGTAGATTAGCTCAAAATCATTGTCATATGATGAAGAGAATGAGTGAAATAAGAGCTTGAAATGGACACCTGGATATGGATTGTCTTCTAATATATTTGGGAGATATTGAAACAATGCTTTGGATGTTGGATGATCCTCATGAACTGTTCCATCAAAGAATGTATTGATGAAATTCCCAAAGTGGCGATGATTGTTATAAAAAACACACTGAAAAAAATTGTGTTTCTCTTGTTATCATAAATTGAAAGTTACAGAATAAGATACTGACCTTTTGTACTGTTCTGGAAATTTGAAGAAAAACTTCATCATCTTTGAATTCTTCAAGAATCTTTATAAAAGTGGGTAAAATTATTTGAAGAAAATTTGCACAAAAATTGTCACATACAATGATATTTCTTTGATAAAATAAATTACTTTTCAAACATTTAAGTAGAACAAGTGAACAATGTATTTTTATCAATATATTGTTCAATAAACAGCAAAATGAAGCCACTTCATTTTTAAAGTACTGCTGAAATATTCTGTTATCAAAAATCAATATGATAGTATTGAAAATAACATCCATCAATTCATTATCAGGGGAGTCTAGTGAGATAATGTTCTTTTCCAAAAGCTGAAACAACATGAGAGAAAAAGTTTACATTTGATGACATACTTGTTTACTCACTTGAACTAGTTTTTGGATTTCCTTATTATCTATTTCATTTCTGCTAAGTTCTTTGAAATAATCTGAATTGACCCAACCATTCAGGATTGTCCAGGTATCTGTGCCAATTTCATCGTTTTTCAGAATCCATTTCAGCAATAGAGCTTTACACTGTGGAGGCAATTCAGAAGAATTGAACGCATTATCAGCAATTCTGATTCGCCTATCAATTGGTTCTTGTGCATTATTCAAAATATGTAGTAATTCTACAAAAACATGATAATCAGTAGGATAAATTAACAACTGAAATAATAGGTATCTACCTATGGAAACAGACATTCTTCAACAGTGTTAAAATTTAGGGAACATCTGAGATTATTTATTAGTATTCAGATTCAGCAATAAAAATATAAAAGCCAAACAAGTATCACTATAAAGAGAAGCACATGGTCATGGATTTTTATATTTTGAAAATTTTCAAACCACAACAGAACACATGTCACATGACATCATGACAAATATGACAATGACACTTAGCAGTGTCAACTGTCGAGGTGTCACAACTGTCAGCTCGTCAGATCACCTGTTCCTGCGCATTGAGCAGAAGCGTTTTCGGGCGAGCAATATGGATGAGATAATCCACTGAGGTATGGCCCCTAGCGATCTAGATAGTATTTATGTCAGTGGATAATGGTCAGGACGAGGCAAGGATTATAAACTCTTACTCTCCTTGTATTCGGCCATTATTACGTATTGAAAATTTCAGAAAAATCACTCGACCGCTTACTATGATTTCTCTACATCACAACGAGCGAGACGTTGATTCTACATTTTCCCGCTAGATGATGATGCTGCTATTACTGCTGTGACGAGTAGAAGTAAAATGACAAATGACATTTAAGGTACGCGGAACATATGTAACAGTGGGATTATTCAATTCTGAATTCGAGAAATCTGCGACAATATCAAAACTGACAGATGTCATAATTGTGCAATGTCGCCATCTATTAGAAGATCGACGGAACCATTACTCTCGCTGTTCTCGAGAGGTCGAGTAAAATTTCTGAAACAGAAGCGCATCAGTATTAATAAATTATATTTCTTTACTTCAATTGGAAAAGTAGATATTTCATAGATGATTTTGAGCACTTCATTTATTAATGAGTACCTCTTTATCATTGAATTCGTAAAATACTTTCAACAAAATTATGAATTCTCGGAAGTAATCTCCTTTATTATCTTGAAACCTCCAACTGTTCATCACTATTTTTTGATGATGATGATGATTGGATTGCCACTAACAATTTGGTTTTCAAACTATCCATATTCAATGTTTCCGCCATTTTTAAACTGCATTGACTTCGCACGGCCTATTAGAGCTCGTTCGAGAATTGTTGCACTGAGCAAGCATTTCACACAGAGCTCTACACATATATCTACTACTCATATATGAATCATAGCTGCCCTCAAAGCGGGACCAACTAATAAGTAAAGGGCGCCGTACATTATGCTATTTCTCGGCAAGTTTGAGGCAATGCAATTTTCTCGCAATTTCCGCAATTGATTGCAAGTCGCCGTACATTAAGATATTTCTGAGATATTTCTGTCATATTTTCTTGTTCATATTCACTATTTTCAGGTTTTTTGAGCCTTCAATGTACTTTTTGAGGTTATTTGGTGTTTCAGGCCACGTTATGGAGAGAATTTGTATTTCATCAAGATGCTACGATGAATATCACTAAAAATTTCACTAAACTTGCGTTGAAATTGCAGGAAAAATAGAAGTGGTTCTATTATGAAACTTGCATGAAACTTGCGGTGAAATATCATAGACGCATGCGCATTGTTCGATTCAAAATTGCATTGCACCGAACTTGCTTGTAAATAGCATAATGTACGGCGCCCTTAACGAAGTCGACCAATATGCGTTGATGCCGACATGCCGACGTAGGGAAAAAATAATACGAAACTTGTCAAACCAATTGACTATTCCAGAACACGTGATTTTGACATGCTTTCTTGAGGGGCACACAAAATATCTGTTAGGTTACCTTTGATGAGCATAGCCTTGGCCATCCCTGTCACATCCACAATATAATAACAGTTTCACCAAACAAAATTATGGAATTTTTTCTGGTTCCAATTCGGATTCCAAGGAGAACGATCCCACTGATTCTGGTTTTATATGACAAATCTTTACAAAATACAATGTTTGCCCCTCAGCAACCTGTCAAATGACGTAAATCTGGAATGAATAATATGGCTATTTCCATCCTCCACTTTCCGTCCTTATAGATTCAAAAAGTACCTCTCATTTTGATGCGCCATATATAGAAATAGTACATATATTATATGAGTTTTACCAATGGAATACAAAATATGCACTCAGTGCGAGCCAGTTGCCAGTTTTCACTAATGTGATTCGCTACAAGTTGATTTACGAGGTGTGCTCGGTTATAACATCTGTTAGCTCGATTCCATCTGTTAGCTCGGAAAGCGTTCGATAAATCAGATCTACTTCCTCTGTCTAATCTGCTCCGTGTTCGTTAATAATTGTCAGAGCGAGCTGAAAAATGTAATCTTTTTTCTCCGCTTTGAGGAGCAGATCATTTGGATATGATCGGTTATTCGGTTGTCAGTTGTCAACAAATCAATGTCAACAACATGTTATTGAAATTATATATCTCTTTTGTGTCGAAAAATTTAAGACTTGATCAACTGGAAACGAAACACAAAACTGAATTTTGTAAGGCTGTGTCTCACGGTCCAACAATTTGATCAAACTACAGATCTGTGATGTCATCAGTGACGTCACGTCAAACAGCAGATGAAATTTAGAACTTGTTCTAATATTTGTCATGTTGGATCAAACAATAAGGTTAGGATGTTTGTTTTCATGTTTTCTTCATTGATTATTATTTTATATCTTAGGAATTAACAAGAAATACTATCTTTAATATTATCAACACTTCAAAAATGTCTGTCCTGGTAATTGGACTGAGGGCCATTTCGGATATTTCAAGAAGTATTTTTGTCTTGCTTCAATCCCAAATTTATGTTTGGTTGAGTAGGGACTTTGTTATGATCTCACCGAGGATCTCACCTTCTGCAGGTATACGTTCACATGCATATGGATGCATATATATGGATTGATAAAGATCTGAAACATTTCCCATCAATTCTTAGGTAGGTTTGAAATTCACCATGGGATATCTTCCAGTCTGACCCCATGAAAAATCATAGGTAAGACTCATCTACCAATATTTCTTCTTTGAAGCTAATATCTTCTACATATCTCCCTTGTTTTTCTAAATCACTTTGTATTACAAATACAACACATAATACTTACCATATAATGAATTTTATTCAATTTTCCCTTGTGATTTGTTCCTACTTAACCAATATTTTTGTTCAAAAATCTTCAAATCGTGTGACAAAGATTTCTTGTCACATGAAACCGTTTGAGTCAAACAGGTAAGAATGACGTCACATCAAACAAATTTGATCAAATTGTTGGACCGTAAGACACGGGCTGTAGAATCCTCCTTGCCCAGAATCGCCAGAATGACCGACGAATTTGCTGTAGGTAGCATATTATATATCTGTAATTTATTCGATCACAACTGACCTGATCCACAATTAATGACCAATCATATGAGACAGGATCATTCCTTCCCTAGCAATTTTCAAAATATAAATCCAAGTAATCAACAAACATTCAAAAGAACTTTGTTGCGCTGACGTGTTTTTAGAAGTAATAAGGTTAAGTGAATTCTTTCAGTTTTCTGTTACTTCTGACAGGTGGCGCTCGCAATCTACTACCTCGTTGAGCGTTTGTGAAATATCTTTAGCTCTATCAGCTAGGTGATCACATGCAATGACGGCTAAATGGACTGTCTGACGGGTTATACATGACTGTTCATTCAGCGAAAATCTCCAAATCGCCCTGTAATGAAATTTTGAAGGGACGGCAAGTGGCGTCATCTATTTCCTGTGTCAAATGAGCTATTCAACATAACCTGCATTATTTGTTGACAAATTTTCTTACTGTCAGCCTGTCACTCATTGTCACTCGAGATTGGAGAGCTTTGTTCGAGATACCAAGTAAAACTGTGAAAAGGCCAACAAAATGAAGTGGTTAGGAGTATAGGAGTGTTCATGCCAAATAAGGTTATTATATGCATAAATAATAATGCCATACAAGTGGAAATCATCTTCGTCAATTCGTGAATAATAGGTAAGGACATGTTCAATTATTTCATTGATTGAATTTTTAACTGCCTAATAAGAGCCATGGTAGCCCTAATAACCAGATACTGCTGTATTCTCAAAGTGAAATGCACTGCAACATTTCATATTGTTTCACAAAATCTGTGATCTCAAGTGATATTATTTTTTTAATTTGTATTTTCAGGAAGATACTGAATTTTCTCAACACAATGTTGCGGCAGCTCTTCATGAGGTTTGATTGAATGATGACTGGAGACATTCAATTCTGATGATGGTATCTATGCATAACTAGAATATTTACTATAAGGTGAGCTTTGTGAACAGTTGTTTAATTAGGTGAGGGTTCAGAAAAATAATCAGGCATTTCAACTACAATATCAGGTATCTCCATGAATAGCAAATTAAATATCAATTTATCATTTCATACTTATATATTTCATATCAGATATACATTAAATGTTCTATAGCAACATTTCTTTATAGGTTCTGGGGATGGCAACACAATGAATATAAAACGGCTTGGATATGGGATCTTGACTTTGGAGGATGAAGCTAGGTTACCTGGAGATCCTTTGGACACTGGAAATAAAAGAGGAAGATGATATATATTATTGTGTATCCCACAATTTCTATTATCTGTTCAGAAATCAGCAGAGAAGAAGCATGTTTTGAGTTCAAATATAAGCTCATCATCATTAGCTAATTTAATGGAAAAGGAAATTGTTTATTATGGTGACTGTCTATATGGAATAAAATTATTATATTACTTGAATAAATGCTTTCTATACATATCATCTATCTATCAATCCATATTTTTCAACCATTTTCAAAACTTTGTGGAGACAGAAATAAGTGTGCACTCTTTTCATCTTTTTAGATCTACTTGGGGAAGCTATAGTTAGTGGGCTAGTATCAGTGACAACATTATACCTTAATTCACATATATACCATCTCATACTTCTATCAAGAAAACAAGAAAGCTATACAGGATCTCATTGATAGATGGGCATATATAATACATAAACTTAGGTCAAATAATTAATTTAAATTTCTTGTGACAAAATTATCACAGCAGTGAAAAACATTTTTGAAAATCTCTGATAGTATCATTATTCTGCGATATTTGCCAGGAAGCAAGAACACAAAATACCTCAAATTGTAGTTGTGGCACTCGAAAAAACTCCAGATGTTGGCCTAGACTGATGATTCTCTGGGATTCAAAGAGCATACCTTAAATTCCATTCCTCTTTCATTCTTGGTGTTGCTTTTTGGGATGCCCATCCTGTAGGTATATGGTAATTTAAGTTTGAATACGTTGCATTGATGGCTTGAACCATCAGGCTCACATGAAACAGTTTTCAACAATACTACTCCTACCCTACCTAGCTACGCAACAACAATGCAGACTAAACATACCTTGAAAATTATGGTAAGCGATCCTTTCTGAATGTAGATCCGATCACTCTATAGTGTCTTCCAAAATCATTAACACAGACTTCAACACCAGAATTAACACCAGTGTTCTAATGGTGGAATCGAGGCTGAAATTGAAAATCATCAGAAAAATGTACATGAAAAATCATATTCTTACCAATGCCTTCCAAAATAAAATTCGACCATTTTTGCTGTGGAGTTTATCACTGGGTATGAGTACTACATTTCATTTCATAAGATAGGCTGTAAATACATGATGAAGACACAACTAGCAAACCTGAATAAATAAACTACGAGAACTAAACACAAAGAAGAATGCTTGATTGAATGAAAATCCGAAAAAGTAAAGGAATTTATCGATATTCAACAGAACACATCAGGGACCTGACAGTGACACAGTTTTGACACTTGATAAAATAATAGGTCGCGTGCAAGAACTGTCAGATGACTGACCCTGGAGGCAAAACATATTTGTTTACAATTGATCGAAATAGTTTTCCACAATTATTTTGGCATATGAATAGTATTTTTCCGCTATTCATCAATTCGCTAATGCCATCACATTGTGCTGTTGTAAAATGCACAAAAACTGCAGCGGAAGATGAAGAAATCCGGATGGTACATTATGATTCAAAAGTAAGTACCTACTATAGTCACTCACATAGATTTCATTTTTGAAATTTGGTTATTTCTCTGATTTCTCATCGGAATTCCTTCTGCAATAGGATCAGCTAATAGAAATATACCTGAAATTTCTAGAATAATGCAAGAAGATTGGATTCATGCAATCAATCGGTAGCACTGGTCTGACATGCTGACGATCGTGCGTGTTGTAGACATTTTCAATCTATTAGCAGTATTATAGCTTGTATTGCAGAATTGGCAGAAGGCAGAAGGAATTTTAATAAGGAATGACAACATTTCATAATGCTAACTATGTGAGATAACTATTTACCTGAAAAATCATATTCCCTAGTCTCTTGCTGCATTTCTTGTGCATTGTACAACAGCACAATGCGAAGGCATGCTTGAATTAATGAATAACGCAAGAAACACGATTCGTATGCCAAAATATTGTGAAAAACTATTTCAACCTTTTGATTCCTCTGTAACCAAATAAAAAAGTGAGGTTGTGTTTCAATAATGCACAGAAGAATGAGGTTGTGTTTCAATATTTTGCCTCCAGGGTCGGTCTTCGTGCACGCGACCAATAATAATTCAATATAACCTATGTTATTGGAAAACAACGGAATGAGAGCTAAAACAAATGACTTCTCCGGAAAGGACGGCAAGTAAACCCCTCTGGTGGAGAATACACTGAACTGAGTGATTGGACAGTCATGTAGTACTCGTCAGACAGTCCATTTAGCCGTCATTGTCACATGACACCAAATCTGCATCTGCTCACTCGGCTCCCATTTTGTTAAACCGAACGCACCTACGGAACACACCCGATTCAACATGTCGATCTTGTCAGTTGTCACAAATTTTGCCATTTCTTTTTATTCTCTCTCAAAAGTGCAATGGCGCCTACGTAAGTGAACTTAAATTTTTTTTCTGGTTTATTCCTGTGTTCATCCTCTTAATTTTCAAATAATAAATTAAAAATCATGTATTTTTAAATCGTATTAAGGTTCTATATTGTTATTATCCTAATATTGAAGTTCTTTTGTGATTATTTTATTTCGTGATATTTATTATGGAATCATAACCTTTTATTTACCATGCAATCATTTCATTTTACAGGGCTGAGAGGAAGGCAAAAACCGTCAAGGGACTGCCAGCAGTACCCGAATCTGTTCTAAAACACCGCAAAAGGCGTGAGGCATCTCGTGCTAAACAAACTCAAAATGCTATCAAAAGGAAATCAGATCACATCAAGAAACGCAAAGATATCTTCAAGAGAGCAGAACAATATGTTAAGGAATACAGGTTGAAGGAAAGGGATGAAATTAGGTTGATTCGTCAAGCTAAAACTAGAGGAAACTTTTATGTTCCTGGGGAAGCTCAGTTAGCTTTTGTCATGCGAATCAAGGGGTAAGTTGCTGTTGATGTTGATACCCTTCAAATGTAGACAGATTCATAATGGTGATTGCTATCAAAAATCATCAGTTTCCATGCTGTCTAAAATTAACAGAAATTTCTGTTGGTGTTCTAGTTAATTAGTACTGGAACAGTGCAGATGCTACTGACAATGTAATAGGAAGATGTAATTCAATGTTCTGCCTGGCATATAGCTAGTAAAGTAGTTGTTTTTCAATCAGATGACTTTGAGCTTCATGTTTCTATTTAATGAAATAGCATGAATTATTGGTTGATCATTACATTATTGTTATTTTTTTAGTATCAACAAAGTTGCACCCAAAGTTAGGAAAGTTCTTCAGTTATTCCGGCTTTTACAAATCAACAATGGTGTTTTTGTTAGACTTAACAAAGCAACAATCAATATGTTGAGAATTTGTGAACCATACATTACCTGGGGATACCCTAACCTCAAATCTGTTAGAGAACTCATCTACAAAAGAGGATTTGCAAAAGTAAACGGACAACGTATTCCAATAACTAGCAATCAGATCATTGAGGATAGATTGGGAAGAGCTGGCATCATTTGTGTTGAGGATTTGATTCATGAGATCTTCACTGTTGGTCCTAAGTTCAAATATGCCTCAAACTTCCTATGGCCCTTCAAGGTAAGAATTTTTCAATATATTGTTGCCTGCTAAAACAGGAAAATTATTTTGTTGATTTTTTTGAAAATGTTCACTAGAGCCCTAAACAGGAGTTGATGTGGATTTATCCATGATTTTCTGGCCATGCTCTATGACCTATAGACTGTTGAAAATGAAATAGAATAAGAATGACATTGTTGAAAATCAAAAATTTTTCACCAAAATCACCATTGCAGTGCCATGAGAGAATGTTGAAAAAAATGATCTGTCATTTTTGACAATTTTTTCTGAATATCTTTGTTTATAATGGATGTGATTTCATGAGTTTTTAACCAAAATCTCTAGATTGGCTTATTATGAGTATTTAAGAACTGAAATGCATTTGCAGTGCCATGGGAGGATATATAAAAAATATGATCTGTCATTTTTGATACTTTTTCCTGAATAACTTTGTAATTATTCCATGCATTCATGAGTTATTTGCCAAAATCTCCAGAATAGCTCTTTATAGGTATATGAAAACTGAAATGAATTTGAAGTGCCTTAGGAGAATATATATAAAATATAATCTGTCACTTTTGTCACTTTTTTTTAGCATGACTCTGTTGACATTCTATGTGCCTTTAAGAATGTTTCACCCAAATCTCATAACTCAATATTCATATTTGAGAACTGAAATAAATTTGCAGTATCATAGGAGAATATATAAAAAATATCTCATTCACATAACTTCGTTGAAAATTGATTTTGTTGCCAAAATCTCTAGAATAGCACATCATATGTATTTGCATACTGAAATGAATTTGTAGTGCCATAAAAAATTTAATCTGATAATATTGAGTCATTCCAGAGATCATATGGTAAAATATTCATGTATGAACATCCATTATCAAGTTATCCCTAAAAATTTATCAAAAATGACAAGACATTTTTTATACATTCTCCTAGGGCACTGCAAATTCATTACCTCACTCTCACATTGATTTTTAACAAAGTTATTCCAAAAAAAGTATCAAAAATGTGAGATTATATTTGTTATATATTCTCCAACAGCACTGCAAATTCATTTCAGTTCTCAAATACTTATATTGATTCATTTCAGAAATTTTAGTGAAAAATTCATGAAAGCATATTGATTATTAATTTAGGGAAAAAGGGGACAGAAATTACAGATTAAATTTTTTAATATATACTTATTTATTTACTGATATTTAATCGGACAGATACAGGGCTGTTCTGATTAAATATCAGTAAATAGTAAATCAAAAGTTGAGATAGGGACATATGAGCTGTTTTGTTAATAATGAATAGTTTCAACACAAATCCTAAAGTTGAAAAATCTAGATTTGAACACCCTATATCTCTGTTATCATTTCCAATAGACCCCAAGTGTGATGTATTGATGAAATCAGCTCTTCATTGAGAATCTAAAAATGTAATAAAATACAGGGTATTCTATTTGAAACAAGAAAGTTGTTGCTGCATTGCTGAAAATATTTCAAATGAAGAGAGCTTATTCTGAAATGTAAGCTGGTCGTGACATACCCTATATATCTGTTCTGCTTTTCATCATGATTTTTATATTATTTGACCTCAAATAAAAATGATCCTGCAAAGTTTGTTGTCAACCCAGTGGGAGAAAAATAGAAGAAAATATTTAATACTCCCCCTGTGAATAAACATGTTTCTCCATGTTTAGGAAAGGATATTGTGGTTTCTAATCTTTTTGCCTGTTAATTTTTCACATCCTCTTCAGGTTCTACATTCAATAAACCTCATATCTTTTTTATTGGTATTTTTCATGAGTCATTCTCTCAGAAACTAATTAGTTGATGGAATTGCTTAGTGATTTTCCTTCACTTACCATGTTCTCACTACTGGTCTGAATTTCACTTTAGATACTTATAATCTCATATCTTAGTAAAAAACTTGTAGTAATTTTTCAGTAGTCTTCTTATGAGAAAGGGTCGTGTAAAAACATGAGCAAATTCAATACAGGATAAAATATGTTTCAATAAAAATCCTACATTAAATACAGATTTGGAGAATTTGAAGTAGTGCTGTTTTCTGCTGATACATCAAGTTTCATTTTCCTCCTAATTCCAATTTACTAGTGTTTGTGCCCTGTATGGTGTGAAAATAAAAGTATGATAATTATGATAATCCATATTACATACTTGGTGTCCCATAATCAGCATGCAATATTTTGTAGATACAGCCTCTTGCTAAAAAAGGGTTCTATATTTATTATTTTTGAAACGGTTTCATTTGAACTGACATTTTGTGTTTACTTCACTTGTCATGCTTAGTTGAAAAAATGTGATTAAAATTTGAAATTTTTATCCAGGAGTGTTAACAGGGTCGGCTCTAAGTGTACGTTTGGCCTCACTTTTTTGTTAGCAATGATGTCAATGTTGGTATAACTAATAGGTATTCTTCTTTTCGTTTTATTTGGCCACCTATTAATGTAAAAATGTGTAAAGTTCCACATTGAGAGTAAAAAACACAAAACTAATCAAGTCAAAACAATAACGTGAGCTTTTCTGTTCCTTACAAAACTTTCAAAATGGCCTCAGCCTTCAAGGCTATTCAACAAAATTTTCGGACTTTGTTTTTGACATCGACCTCACGCTCTAGTAACGGCAACTAGTGAGACTGAAAATGTTAGCCAAATACTGAAAATATGAGGTTTTTCTTCATGAAGAAGTAATTCATGATATCTAAAAAATATGTTTGATTTGCTCCTGATTCAAGTAATGAATGAAAATTTCAATTTTCGTTCATATTTTCAAATCCAGCATCAAAATGAGATGAAGAAAATTTCTTTATAATGAAAATTAAAGAAGTTAAGTGTATCCCCAGTTGAACTGGAAGTACATTATTAACAAAAACAATCTCATCAGATGCATCTTGTTTTGTATACTTGTCTGGAAAATTTCATAAATTTCGTCCTTTCCGTTTCAAAGATATTTACTTGATTCCATACTTTATCCCAACCCTGTATACAAAGTGGGGAATCCTCTTAGGGAGGCTGTAGCTTCCTTAGAGCCATTTTTTACCCTATTTCATTCAAACTTTTACTAGGAAATATCAAATATTATATGAACAAGAAAGACATGCTCTTTTGAAACTGATGGATATTTTTTTCTCGAAATTTCAAATAGTACTGATAATTATGAGGGTATGAATGTATTCTTGGTGTTCAATCATTGTTGAAGACCGGTTATAATCATCAGAGCTTCATTGGTAATTTTTTTAGCTGAACACGCCCACTGGGGGCTGGCGAAAGAAGACCAACCATTATGTGGAGGGAGGTGACTTTGGAAACAGGGAAGACAAAATCAATGAACTCCTTAGGAGAATGGTTTAAGTTATAATTTCTTATTAATAAACATTAAGAAGTGATGATTTACTAATTTTGTATTCCTCACATCTTGGGTAGCATGAGAACATTATTATAAAAAGTTGAGATAACAAAGATATTCACTGAAAGATAGCCATGTCGAATCCTGCGATGAATATCTCATGGATGTCTATTTCTAAATTGACACTATCAGAATCAATCTTGCAAATTGACCACTATCATAATTGCTATGGATATCCTTGAGATATTTACTGAAAGATATCCATGTCGAATCCTGCGATGGATATCTCATGGATGTCCATTTCAAATTCAGTAGGAGAACGAAGAATCAGATCTATTTCCAAAAAGCATTGACACTATCAAAATCAATCTTTAAAATTGAACCCATTCATAATTGCTGTGGATATCATCAAGATATCTACTGAAGGATATCCATGTCGAATCCTGCGATGGATATCTCATGGATTTCCATTCCAAATCCAGTAGGAGAACAAAGAATCAATTTCCGAAAAGCTTCAATTTATATTCGGACACAAAAGAAACTCATAAATTCACTATCAAAATCAATATTGAAAATTGAATATATTCATAATTGCTGTGGATATATTATGTATGTCGGAAGATATCTACTGAAGGATATCCATGTCGAATCCTGCGATGGATATCTCATTGATGTCCATTCCAAATCCAATAGGAGAACAAAGACTCAAATTTATTTCTAAAAAGATTCAATCTATTGAGACACTATATCAAAATCAACCTTGCAAATTGAACACATTCATCATTGCTGTGAATATCTTATGGATATCCTCAAGAGATCTAATGAAGGATATCCATGTCGAATCCTGCGATGGATATATTGAGGATGTCCATTTCAAATCCACCATATAGGAAAACAAAGAATCTGATCTATTACTAAAGAGTTTCAGTCCATCTTCGGGCACAAAAAAAACTGATTAATTGACACTATCAAAATCAATCTTGCAAATTGAACACATCCATAATTGCTGTGGATATCTTATGGATATCCTCGAGTTATCTACTGAAGGATATCCATTTCAAATCCTGCAATGGGTATCATATCATGGATGTCGATTTACAGTCTATATGGATATATCCTGACCAGAATTGGACATGTAGAGGATATCCATCGTATATCCTGTGTTATCTGGGATAGCATGCTTGGATTAATGAATAGCCGTTAAACATGAATATCCAGAACCATTGTGAAAAACTATTCCAATCCTCTGTAAACAAATAAGAAAAGTGAGGTCGTGTTTTACCTCCACACGAGAATAGCTCAACATACAGGCAATACAGCAGGCCTATTGCATGAAGCATTTGACACGATTAAATATTACATTTTTTATATACGTGGTGGAGCATGCCTTTTGAAGAGTTGAAAGAGTTGACTCCTCATTGAATTAATATTAATATCAGAAGTTTGTGCAACCGACCCTAAGTCTAATAATTATGACCAATCAAATGATGAGTCGCACATTAACTTCTCTACCCATGGAGAAATAGCTTATTCCAGGTCCTGACCTTCGAAGGGACCTTTGGTACAAGCGTCTAACTAGACCCTGTATGATCTAAGAGCGAATCCTTCAAACCTCAAGGTTATAGAAGGTTAGTACGGAAGGGACAGATCCACAGATTAACAGTTTGTTAATCTGTGACAGATCCTCGTCTCCTCTCACTCTAAAGTGTTTGTGAAACAGTTATACAGTTCCATCCTTATTCAATTCTGGGGATGAACAAATGATCTTGGGATAGGTCGCGTGCAAGAACTGTCCGATGACCGACACTGGAGGCAAAACATTGCAACACAACGTCACTTTTCTTATTTGTTTACAAGTGATCGAAATAGTTTTCCACAATTATTTTGGCATATGAATCGTATTTTTTCGCTATTCATCAATTCGCTCATGCCATCACATTGTGCTGTTGTAAAATGCACAAAAACTGCAGCGGAAGATGAAGGAATCCGGATGGTACATTATGATCCAAAAGTAAGTACCTACTATATAGTCACTCACATATCATTTTTGAAATTTGGTTATTTCTCTGATTTCCCATCGGAATTCCTTCTGCACTAGGAGCTAACAGAAATATACCTGAAATTTCTAGAATAATGCAAGAGAATTGGATTCATGCAATCAATCGGGAGAACTGGTCTGACATGCTGACGATCGTGTGTGTTGTGGACATTTTGGCAGTATTAGCTTGTATTGCAGAAGTGGCAGAAGGCAGAAGGAATTTTAATAAGGAATGACAACATTTCATAATGATAACTATGTGAGATTACTATTTACCTGAAAAATCATATTCCCTAGTCTCTTGCTGCATTTTTTGTGCATCGTACAACAGCACAATGCGAAGGCATGCTTGAATTAATAAATAACGCAAGAAACACGATTCGTATGCCAAAATATTGTGAAAAACTATTTCAACCTTTTGATTCCTCTGTAAACAAATAAAAAAGTGAGGTTGTGTTTCAATAATTCATAGAAGAAGGTCGGCGTGCACGATCATATACGTATTAATAAACAATACGGATCATAACGGGTGCCAGGATGAAGCCAAAAATATGAAACAAATGAATATCCATAAGGATTTGGTGGCATGATACGCATGCGCCATGCGCTATTATAGTAGTCATCAAAGACATGCGTTTCGGTGGACAATGACGTTTACTAGCCTTTCAATCAAAGCAGTATGTGTCTGATCGTTTCAAAACTTTTCCTTATGGATAGTCATTTGTCTTCAAAAATCGGCTTCATGTTTCGCTATGGAAACAGATAGAGACTATCCGTATTGATTATAAATACGTATATGTGCACGATAACCCACCCTGGAGGTAAAATACTGAAACACAACCTCATTCTTCTGTGAATTATTCTGAAAAATCATATGTATAACATGGGGGTGAAGTATATTCTATTCTTTATTTTCCTGCACATTTTACGTATTAATTTTTATCAGTCAACTTTTCGTCCTAGACGAAGTTTTATACATAGTGTGATATTAGTAACTCCATAAATTATTCTCCGAGTTGGATTTCTGGAAATATATTTAGCACACATGACATGAGTACAGTAGTCTAGATACCCACATCGAGGTTTCCACCATTTCTCAATCATAAGGCTGTAACAGAATATCCTCAGGGGGAGTTTCAGGTCGCGAAATGAGTAGTTTCGGAAAGTATGAGGTTTTATTTTGCCAATCACCCACCAACGTGGCTAAATACAGGGTGGAGACCTTAAGTGGAATAAATTCGCTAGCAGGGAGGTGAATATTTTTTATGAAAATTCCCGAGATACGTCAACGTTTTTATATATTTACCTATATTTTGCAAGCATTATGAAGAATATAGGCCTTCAGCGGTAGCTGAAACTACCCTCAACATGTTTTTTTCAAATGCAACCCTATGGCTTGTGACCCCTCATTGGAAAGCTGATGAAAAGTGGAATCCAGCGTACTGATCAAATTTTATTTTTTCGTACGTTTGAGGGATACATAAAATCAAAATGAAACTTAAAAGATAAATCTATTCCCAATATATCAATCGCTTATAATGTATGTTCTTCAGTTTCGGAATGTAAACATCGATATCTCCGCAAAAAAATTCCAAGCAATTTTTTGCTACAACTGATATTTGTTATTTTTTGCTAGTGTTTTACACAGCCGCAAAGATGAATTAAGTTTGTATGCCGTATTCATAGTTCGAAAAGAAGTGTTGTTGCGTACTGAAAATGCCTTATTTAACTGAATCGCTGAAAATCAAAATTTTGATGATGATTGGCTTTGGTGATAGGGCCCGAACTCAACACGAAGTTGTTCGCCTGTTCCGAAATAGAAGCACAATATCGAGAGACGGGTCATGTGAGAAAAGTACCGAGTCAGAGGCAGGCTGTTGTTCATGACAAAACGAAGTTGAATTTGTTGCTTGCTCTAGAAGAAAATCCACTCACTCCAGCCCGCCAACTGGTCCGTGATAATAATCTCAATCACAAAACAGTTTTGAAGATACTCAAATATGAGGAAAAACGCCCTTATAAAATGCAAGCTGTTCAAGAGCTACATAAAGATGATCCAGATCGCCGACTGGAATTTTGCGATTTATTGATGACCAGTATTGATCAGAACCATTTATCATTGGAGTGGATACTTTTCTCAGACGAGGCTACTTTTACATTGAACGGGCATGTAGATCGCCAGAATTGTCGTTATTGGGCTGTAGAGAACCCTCATTGGATGAGGGAACTTCATACTCAGCGCCCACAGAAAACTAATGTATGGGCCGGAATAATCAAAGATACAATTGTGGGACCATTTTTCTTCGATGACACTATCAATGGAGCAAGATACTTGCATTTTCTCCAGAACAAACTAATGCCAGTTCTATGTCATTTATTTCCAAATCCCTTGAACCCTAACTTGACCGACGAGAGGCTAAGGTTTCAGCAAGATGGGGCCCCGCCACACTACGCTGCTATTGTTCGTCAATATCTGGACACAATTTTTCCCGGTAAGTGGATTGGAAGGCGAGGTACCATGGAGTGGCCAGCAAGGTCACCAGATCTTACACCGCTAGATTTCTTTTTGTGGGGACATCTCAAAAGTAAGGTTTACATTCAAAAACAAAACAACATAGCAGACCTACAGGAAAGTATAAGAGAGGAAATCAGAAAATGTAAGGAACTAGACCTACCACAGACTGGGATGCTGCCAACAAGTGAATGGTACACATTTTGAGCAATTGTTACGCTGAAAATAAATTCAACTCCATTATTTAGTTTTGATATTATGCAACCCTCAAACATAAGAAAAAATAAAATTTGATCAGTATGCTGATGGATTCCTCTTTTCATCAGCTTTCCAATGAGGGGTCACAAGCCATAGGGTTGCATTTGAAAAAAACATGTTGAGGGTAGTTTCAGCTACCCCTGAAGGCCTATATTCTTCATAATGCTTGCAAAATATAGGTAAATTTATAAAAACGTTGACGTATCTCGGGAATTTTCAAAAAAAATATTCACCTCCCTGCTAGCGAATTTATTCCACTTTAGGTCTCCACCCTGTATAATGTATATGAAATCTGGAAGATGTACATAAGGCACCATTAAAATACATGAAAAATATAAAGAGTAACTACTTTACCTGGCACTAAGTCGGTGCAAAACAACACTTTATATAAAAGCAATATTCAACACGCTGTAACTAAGAGCTACCATCAATCACAAATGCTCACAAAATCAGAAAGTCGAGCTCGAACAAACGATACCAAGTGCGTTTTTTGCCTTAGCGCCACAAAAACAAGGGGCGATCTATTTAAAGTTTTCCAAATGAACGAAAGCAATAGCAAATCATAGGTAGGTAACTGGCACAAACACTGATTCCTCAGAAAATGCGATGCTTATACAGGGCGTTCTGCTTCAAGGCTCAGCTCATAGATAAACTACTGCTCAGCTTGAAATCAGAATTCATTCAGTCAATCAGTCAACCCTGGTTTACAGTCTTAAGAACAGTCTCTTTTGGTGAAATATATTAAGCTTTCAGTATATGTTTCCTAAATCGCAAAGATCATGCTAAAATTAGAGGAGTGTTCATCTATATCTTGGTATAGTTGAGTCAGGAATTCCATATGGAAATTACGTATGATACGCCAGTGACCTCAATATACCGTAGAATGGGGTGACTTGAAATCGTGTGGTGACTTGAAATAAAATGCAGTGAAAATTTTGAAGTAGTGGCAACGTCGCATGTCAACGGAAGAAGCTAAACTAGTCTTTCAGTCTAATGATTTTTTGTTTATTTTTGTAGTTTTTTATCTTTTTTGTATTTTGCTAAAAAATATTTGTTCTAAAACACAGTGTTTTTTTATGAAATTGATGATTTCTATATATTTTTTATTTAATTTTCATTTCATGTCACCACCTAGACCATCCTACTTGAAATATGACGTTTGACATTTTTTTTTTCGAAAACTACACTATATAGAAACGGTTTTAATGTATCGTTCTGTTCTTTAGGGTCGAAAGAGTTGGTGACTATTTTTAGTTTGGTTGAAAGTTGCATGGTAAGGTCGCAATCTATGGAAGTGTGTCAAAAATCTTATCAAGTCACCCCATTCTACGGTAACCTAAAAAACAACGAATGTCAAAAATCTAGTGTTTATCTCCAGAATCGAATAAGGATGGAACTATATAACTGTTTCACAAACACTTTAGAGTGAGAGGAGACGAGGATCTGTCCGTACCCTGTTAAGATGACTTTAACGTCAATTTCCATCAAGGGACCCTAATTGATTGATATAATGTATAATGGCTGTGTCAAGTCATTCGTCCTACCAAGAATGGTAAATGGTTGACTCCACTCTGAGATGCTTATAACTAAAGCATCTCACTCGACTCCAATCAAAAGTTGACGTGGTATCTTTGGTGGGCAGATTTGAAACGTAACCGATATTCCCAAACAGCTGCTTGGCCAGACAGATGGTCAGACTTCATATCGAACGTATGCGCCCGGAAAAACCCCAGACTTGACACAGCCAATACTTTTTTCAACATAATACACCTAATCTATAAATTTCTCTCGCAAGTAATTCAATTAGTAGCATGCTACTGCGCTGCTTGTTGCCATAGACAAGCCAACACATGATCGATAGTCCCTCTTTCTTCATAGTAAGAGGACTTTTTAGTAGCTCGATAGCTCCTCCTCTTTGGCTCAGTGGTCTATGTCAGATACTTCCACGTCGGTGGCTTGCGTTCGAATTTTTCATTCTATCACAAGTAATTTTTCGAAGAATATACTTTTGAGAAATAGGATCATTCAGGACCAGTTTGGTTGAAAAGGTTGCCTTTTGCATGCAGAAACGATATTTTCCTTTCTCATAATACCTTATAACCTTCTGTTTACCTTAAAATTTTCCGCAGCACGGCAGCTGCTACTAATAGAATAACTGACGAGAGACGTTTGTCAAAATCTCGCTCTTTCCGCTCGTAGAAAAACATATATTTATGGCAACGGCAACACTGGCTTGCCTCATTTTTAGTACAAAATCATTCGCTCGATATTTATCTATACTAGAGTCACTGCATGGTATTAGTTAGATAAATCTATACTATTACTGACAATAGAGAATTGTATTTATCCTTTCGTTGACTTTCCCTTGTGAATAATGATACACACCACAGAACTCAAGTGATTCACACTCAACGACGTCACACACTAATTTTGTAAGAAAAGCACCTGATACAAAATTAAAAAGAGCGGCGTGCTATGATTCCTCACACATGTTTTATTCTCAAAACAGCCTCACTGAGTTCCAATGAAATCACAGAAAGGGTCATCAAATTATCTATGAAAAAATTGTTTTTTCTGTGACGGGAAAAAAGTTTGGCATTTCATCTCTGTTGGCAGGTTATAAGATGTAACTTTTCATAAACTACTTTTTTCCTGTGGGAAAAAAGTGAGTACTTTTTCCCGGATATATATCACATATATATACACTGTTGATGGCTTATTTTGTTGTGCTATAGTTCCGAAAAATGAGTCAATAATACCGTCTCCGAGAAAGAACTGCAAGTCCTTTTATCTTCCATTCGACTTCGCGGTCACGTATATTACTAAACCACTAAATTCGCAATTATTTGAAATCAAATCACAGAATTAGACTGACAGAAGTGACCTCAGATATTTGATTACTTCAAAAGAATGATAAAGATGCCTACAACGCAGGTGTCCTTACTGTTAAAAACTTAAAATTTCACGTCGATAATTTTCAGATTTCAAAATGATGTAATATCTTCTCAATATTGATTCGTCCTTTCTTCTGTGACAGAAAAAAATAGTGTATTATGCACGGGAAGAATATTAGATTATAGCTCACGGTTTTTTGTCTCCCTCCGCTACGCGTCGGGAGACAACACAACCTGGATCTAAAATCTACTACTTTCTCCCCTTGTATAATGAATAACTTTCATGAAATTTCAACATGCTGTGTGTAGCGATAACGCAGCATTTACAGATCTATCTCTTCATATAAGTCTGATTCCTCCCTTTATATTCATATTTGGCACACATTCCATTCCGAAATTTCCGAGTTTATTTATTTTTTGGAGCGCACGAAAAAAAATCCTTATGATGTTCGAAGAACATCGTGATTTTTTTTCAACTTTTGGGTTTGCTACATTTTTGTTGAATCTGGTACAATTCTCGGATTATTTCGGTACAAAATATTTTCTCGTTGGGGCAACACTGTCAACACTGTTGCCAAAAATGCCTATGCCATCCATAAAAAAAACAATAAACAATAGATGAAGTGGAAAGACTGAAAAGTTTAATTGATTTATAACAGGTTTGAATTTTGTAGATTAGTTGATTAATGAGGAATAGACATGAAGATAATGCAACTTATAAAACAATTAATGAGACAATTGTTTCTATTCGTTGCCTGAAAGTACCCACAAAATTATTTCCTGATGATGTAGTTTGTTCAAAATGAAAATTTTGGGGTAGGTTTGTACATTATATTTAACTTCATCTTCATAAAGATAGGCATACAGGGTTTCAAGTTGGTGGTTTCCAAACGGAAAGGATGGGTGTCAATAAAGATGTCCTGGTTTTATCTTCCAAGGTACCCATAATTCCTGTTATTTATTTTGCTCAACAAATAAAACTGTTTCTGTAATTTCTCTCTGACTTGAAGAAGAAAACAATTGATTTGCCAACTTGAAGCTCAAAATGAATACCTACTTTCTACATGTATACCGACAGGTGATTTGGGATAGCATGCCTAGAAGATCCTGATGGTTGGTGCTTTTTAAAGAGTGAGAACACACTTATCATGTCTTGAAACATCTGAAGAAATTATTCTTAGTTATTAGCTGGGAATACGTAATTATACGGCAGTATCGGTATTAGAAGTATATTTTATTCATACACACTGATGAACATCTTGTATCAATATCTTGTTTTACATAACAACATAAAAACTTCTATATTAATTACTATAACAACGACAATACTACGACAACACCTCTTGTTTTTGTCTCTGTAGATAATACAGGAATCGACTGCGACTTATACAGTAGTCATATTGTACTGGGTGTACAGAAATGATATACCTTGAATATTGTTATTTTCAACAATTATATCTCATACTAATATGAGGCACAAATCCTTCTTATTAAGAAACTATAAGAGATGGAGGAATAAGTTTATCTGTACCAATTCATTGAACTCAAATAGTATAAGTACTTAATTATCATGCACAAGCCAAATTATTTTGTTATAATATTGTAATATATTCTGATGTATGATAAAATAGTTGCTATTCATTGATTACTGACAAGATATAATAATATACTTACCCATCTTCATTCAAAGGTACCAAATAAGGGAAGTGTTCTTTGCAGAAATAATTTTTTCTACAAACGTCAAAAAATGACAAGGTTCATGCATTGATAACAAATTGCCAAGTGACACTTTTTCTCAGTTTCAACAATAACTTTGTTTTATCTCTTGGAGCGCACGAACGGAAATTCCTATTATGTTCCTGGACCATCTTGCGAACCTAAGGAGGATAGGGGGAGGCCTTTTAAGCCAGTTCAACACTATTTTTTATATCAAGCTAAGCATATTTCTTCTTTAGAACAATGTTTTTTGACGTTTGTAGAAAAAATATTGTTTGCAACTCGAGCGCGAAATACTTGACTATCTTGACTATTTTTTTAATTCAGATACGCCTCGTTAAAAAAATCAGATCTCGATATCACCAAAGTAGCATTTTGCGCTCTAGATACAAAAATAACTATTCCTTAAATGAGGATTGCAGGACAAACTCAAGGACAAAGCTATAGGCTGAGTCATGTAATCACATGAGTGTGTTATCAGATGAGTGTGTTAATAATGTAGTATCCCACGTGTTGTATACAAAATTTTATCTACAACTGTCAACGTTCTCATAACTATCTTCGAAGAGAGAAATTGCTGGAAATTTCTCTTGGCGACTTTTATCATGATTTTTTTCTCTCAAATCTATACGACCAATATCTTATGAGATATGGCCGCTCGCTACCCTTAACTGATCACCCTGTACACCACCGGTTTTTATGAGTTTCATATTCTCATTAGATTGAACTATTGAAACTATTGAAACAATAAAAATTTGATTTGACTCAAAATTTTAATGTTTGTGTTTTCAAGACTTCCATTGAGATTACTTAATAACCCCAATTAGAATCATTTTGAAATTTTGGGGCTTTCTCAGTCTCCATCCATAATGAATTTTGGCACCATGAAAGTTTATACAGGAGGGTTATAAATAAAAACAATTGATACTTCTAACCTCAACATCCTGTTTCTCAAAAACGGAGCAATTTGGGATACATGTTTATATGAACTTTATTTGCTAGAATGTCACAAGGAAACATCCCTTGATTTTTTTCGGTGTTATTTAGATACATCCTGTATACTGGCTGAATGACAAAAAACGCCCCAAGTCATAGCGCCGGTATTTATTATCAGATTAAACAAAAGCAAATGAAATGACTCATCAGATACTAGTACTTCTAATTTCAACTCTAACGACAGCGATTGTCAACTTTTTTTTTCGAATCGCATTGTATATTCTTAAATTTTTGTTCTGATAGATTCTTTGTTTTTCTGAATACAATAATGTAAAACGTCGACTTTCGCGAAAAATTAGTTGAAAAAAATGTATGCTCCGTCGACATGAAATGGATATTTTCATCATAGTTTCTATTGAGTCATTGAAGGTTAACTCCGTTCTTTATGAAAAAAAAATACATTATAATGTTGAAAAAATGATTTAACAAATGTCTTAGGAAACTACAAACTAGAAAAAGTAATGAATAATCCACTTCTTGACTACCGAGCATACATTTTTTTCAACAATTTTCGCGCGAAAGTAAACTTTCTATACAGCATTGTATTCAGAAGAAAAGCTATACCAACAATAAAAAATATACAATGCCATTTGAAAAAAAAAGTTCACAATCGCTGTCGATAGAGTTGAGATTGGAAAAAGAAATTGTTAGTGCCACCTTGTAGTATCTGATGATTCATTTCATTTGCTTTTTTGTTTTCTAAAATATCGGATAATAAATACCGGTCCTATGCCTTGGGTCGTTTTTTGTCAGTCAGACCAGTATGCTACTGTTTCCTACAAAGGTGACGATGAAGATGATTTCCAGCCACCTAGACGTTTTATGGATGTAATGTTGCCCCTGCATTGGCCAGAAGAGTTACAGCGCTTCTCCTGAAATAGTGACTTGTGTAGCTATAATACATGTCTTTTCCAAGCCATTTTGAAATCATGCTGAGAATTCTCCTATTCTATTTATCCCCACATGTTGGTTAATATATTTTCCTCTCAAATATTTCAAAAATAATCTCTTACTTTTTGCATATATTGAAATTACTAATCTTACAAAATTATGGTTTATTATGTCTTCTTAATATATCTCAGACGATGTAAATTCAGATTCACAGTTGTAGTACAAAATATGTTTGTTTTTCGTTTATAAAATTCGTGTTTTCATGGCACATTCGAGGTAAGTAATTAACACTCTCATGTGCCATAGCAAAACTAATTTTACGCACAAAAATAACTATTTTAAATGCAACTACTCCTAGCCGTGATCATCATTTGGGCTGACGCAAACAGTATGCCTTTATATTTTCAACTACACATCTCACTTATTGTATTTCTTCCTATCAGGTATTTCAACAATCAATATAGATCCAGCATTTTCAATGGCATCAATAGTAACATGTAATAATTCTTCACGGCGACAAGCACCGCTGATACCCAAAATTAGGACAACCTATAAATGAAGAATGATTTATTATGTCTTGTTAATATATTTCAGACGATGTTAATTCACTTTCACAGCTGTAGTACAAAAAATGTTTGTTTTTCGTGTATAAAATTCGTGTTTTCATGGCACATTCGAGGTAAATAATTAACACTCTCATGTGCCATGAAAAAAATCATTTTACGCACAAACAAAACTATTTTAAATGCAACTACTCCTAGCCGTGATCACCTTTTGGGCTCACGCAAACTGTATGCCTTCCTATTTTCAACTACGCATTTCACTTATTCTATTTCATTTTGGAACACAGGTAGCTTGAGTGAAATGGAATCAAAACGCCTAATTAGCGAATAAATAATGTTAATTAACTTCAATGCATGAAGAGCCCAGGAGGATTCTTTCATGCATCATTTATTAACATCGAAATATACACCCAATTATACCCTCCAAAAGGCATACTGGCTGAAATCACGTCTGAAAATCTGTTACTATATCTCCCGGTCTATATTGAAATCTCGTTTTTTTTTTATTTCAGGAGACACTCCAAAAGTAGACTTTGTGTTTGTCTTATATTTTTGATCACATGTGTGATTTATATTGAATTCGTTTCATATTATTTCAACAGTTTGAACTGGTACAGTTTGAGTTGCAAGGACAAACACAAATGTACTAAAATTCTATTAGTAGCTGATCCACAGATAATCGGAAATTATGAGGAACCAATACATTTTCTCACACCAATCACCATTTTTGATAGTGATAGGTAAGCACATATTTTTCCTATCTGATGATCCTGAGGATAATCTGATTAGCTGATCAAATATATGGATGAATTGAAGATAACACTATAAAAAATAATACCTAGACCCTTGATCTGATTGGTAGGTACCTAAGATGAAAAACTCAAATAAGGTTGCATGTCACCTTCAGCTAAAAATGTACACCATGAACTTATCACTATTTTGAAGAAATTTTTTGAAATATATTGTTACGTTATTCGTGGCAGAAGTGAACACTGACAGTATTTATTTATGAACTTATTAATATTATCACGACTAATTTTTTCGAGCATTTCATAACACTCGGTATACCTACATATTTGTCTCACTGACTGACACTGACTAATAAGACGCTATATTCCGAATTCAACTGACACTTCTGAATCTGCTGAATCTGCTACTGAATCTGTTTTTCTTTTTTTTCGTGCCAATGTTACCTAGTTCATCTACTACATTTTGATTCGTATTGATAAGTAATTATGTATCGTTCAAAATGGCACCATTTTGAAAGATTTTTCAAAATAGAATGGGAGGACATCGACGAAAGTGGTCGAATTGCTGCCAAAAGTGGACATTAAGCCGAACTGCCGAATCAGCTTTTTGGACATTTCACCGTCCATAGATCTCTCTCGGCGTTTCGTTCGAAAATTCGGCAACTTGTCCATTCGACGAAGTGTCGTGGACCCAATGTGTCAGCTTCCAAAACATATTCATACAAAATTACATCACAATGTTGCCAGTAGTTTCAACATAACAGTATAATGTGTATGAAATTTATTTTTCAACACCTTGTATTTTGAATACGGATGTTGATACGGAATTTTTTCTACTGAGCAAACTCAACTTATTTCGCAGTGTTCTACATACCCTACTAACGGTGCCTGCTATTTAGGAACAGCTTTCATAGTATGCAACATTGTCTGCTAAATATGGAGAAAAAATCTAGTGAGCTGGAATGGTATGCAATATAAATTCATCACCTCTATTCATTTTTTTGTTTGTTGTACCCGCCTGGAGGTTTTTTATGATGATTAAGGATACAATTAAGGATTCACTGTGGCACAGTCGATATTGTGTTCACCCAGAAAAATCTATTGTTTTTTTTGTTTTAGATATCTGAAGAAAACCTATTTACATGCCTATGACTTTGTCAAACCAGATGTAGTAATATTTTTGGGTGATTTAATGGATGAAGCTCACAAAGCATCTAATGAAGAGTTTCACCAATATGTTAGAAGATTGTTCAATATATTTTTAGGTCATGAAAATCCCTCAATTATCAGGGTAATAAATAACAGAACCTATTCCTATTTATCAAGTACTTTTCTGAATTCAAGTGTTTTATTTTTGTTTTAGCATATTTGGCTACCTGGTGATAATGATATTGGTGGGGAAGATACTATGATAACTAAAGAGAAAATAAAAAGATTTAATCATGCTTTTTCTCAACCAAGCCTTATAACAATGAAAAATATTACATTTTTCAAAATCAACAGACTGACTTCTGACATACCAGTGTACAAAAACAAAAGAGAATTTTATGATACCAATGAGATATTTGTAGGCCTAAGCCATATGCCTATGATGTTCAAGCCGTCCACCTTTGTAGAGAAGGTAAAGATCTGCGTTGACCTGGAACTAATTTACATTGCCTGATTTTAAGGTTTTTGATAAAATGATGCCACATGTGCTCTTCACTGCTCATGAACACAAATCAATGATAATTAGTACCAATGCTTTGCTGAAGCAAGATTTTCATATCGTACCTCTCACCCCAGAAAATAATCAGATATTCGAATATAGTCTTGCAATGACAGACATGTATGAAATTATGATACCAACCTGTTCTTATCGCATGGGTACTGACAAAATTGGGTATGGATATGCTGTAATAGGTGAGTTCATAAGTAGAATAAACCTGTCAGTTCAATGTGCTCACTATAGTTATTCATTTGGTACTTATGGACTGTTCTATTTTTTTTCTAACCAACCAAACCACCAAGAGCTTTATGGTAAGATGTATTAAGAAATATTTTTGATTCTCACAGAGTACATACTACTGAAAGAACTGATCATACGTTTGCTATCATTTTATTTATATTTTTTCAAGTATTCTATATACAGGGTAAGAGTGGGTTGAATTGGGTCAACACCCAAAAGTGTTATTCCCTGTAAGTAATCGAAAACGCCCAATAGCCCTAAATATTCAGTTTTTCAAGTAAAACATTGAATAAATCTCAAACTTTCACTCCCTATATATCGAAATGAAGCTCCCACGTATATATTTTAAGTAAATATCTGAATTATGTCCTAATTAAATACGTTCCAACCAGTCAAATACTTCATCGCTTATGTGTCGATCATTTACATTATCTTAACATTGTTCTTTGAATGTTAATTCCATAATATCAAATCGAATCATTAACTATATGAAAATATACCCTTTTTTTTAATCAATGAAAATTTGTCATGATCTCGAAAGTATTGTCGCGTTACTGTAAATTGATCATCTTTTATATTATCCCCCAATTTTTTTAGAGATTCCGACATGAATCTGTAACTATCAATGAATCTCAATTTCAAAAATACATTCTTCAACTGCGCTTGTTCATCTGTATAGTTATCGACGAATAAATGTTGAATGTACTTCTCTTTCGTTTGAGGAATTACTTCTACCTTTTCACCATTCTTAAATAATTCATATATAAACAAGCGGCAGTCATACCCACTCAGATTATGGAAAATAATGGAAATGAAAATTTAATTTTGAAATTGAGGTTGCAGATTGAGTGGGTGGCCCCAAATCTTTTTTTTTTTTTGAGTCAGGTGACAATGGTCCTTTACCCTAACATCACCATTCCCGAATTGACATTCACAAATATCACAAATGAAGGCATTGGAAAATTCAATTTCTTCTTCAACTGTCAACTTATGCATTTGAACGATACATCTTAGAGTCTTGATGAGTACTTCTGCCGCATTTGTTCCTCTATATGTAACGAATTTTTTAACTGAATCATCGAATGAACATTCAACTATATATGCAAATGAGTACGGATCATGTTTGAAAGTTTCTGCTGTGAATGAATTGCTTGAATTTGATTGACAATGATTCATAGCTCCGAGTATTATTTCGAAATCAGCATACACAACGAGTAGAACACGCAATTGCTTCAAAATTCTGAAATTCCAAAATATTTGCTGTTACCATTTTACCGTACTTATCGAATTTGGGAGCACTAGTAAGTACAGTACAATATCTATAAGATACAAAATATCTAACAAAAAAGTAATCGGTTGGACAGCGAATCCCATAGTTGCAGGACTAGAATTTATTTACCACTTGTGAGAACGAATATAGCCCTAAATAATCCGATATATAGGTGCTTGGAAGCATTCAATACACTGCCAGAATCTATCAAAAACAGAGATAGCTATTCATCATTTAAATACGTCCTCAAGGACCTTCATGTAAATCACCGAAATGTCTAATATTTGAAGTGTTGGAATTTTTGGAATGAAACTTTGATATATGTAACTGTTGTTTGTTATTCATTTGTAATTGATGTACAAAGAACATTTCATTATACTTTATATATTTTTGTTAGATGCCATTGCATTGTCCTATATTCACCAACTGCTGGTTTGGAACAAAAGCACAATTCATCAATATGAATTGTGATATATATATTTGTACCTGCATGATGTGTTTTGTGAAAAAAAAATATGATTGCAATCATCTGACTTATGTTTTAACAAAGATCTATCATTCTCAAAGTATAGCAAACAACCGTTACAAAAATACTATTTATGATCATGGGAGTAAATTTGGGTAGAGACTAATCTAGATGGATCTTTTATCCAATAGTAATGACAATTACCAAGATCAATTATTATGAACAATAAGTTGATATGTTAACCTACCTCTATCTAGAATAATGAAGAGGTCCAACAATTTCATATGCTAGCTTGTCACCATAAACATTAATGGAACAATCATTCATGATCTCAAATTTGAGTAGGTATATCACACAATGTCATAGGAAACTCAATACCTTGCAATTTCAAAATTGTCGAGAAGTATGGATACGACGATGTACTATTTGACTCTTCCTGCTGCTGGATATAATGTCCAATGCGAAGCAACATTGGTCTCTATTGACAACATACACTACAGCCTTCTTCCTCTCGATGAACTGAGGTAGTTTTATATGTAAACATCCTTTGAGTGAACTCACCTCCACGAATAAAATAATATCTTGTCGATCTAGGGCCCAACCTACAAATGAATTTCAATTATTGATGTTGGTGTGGATGAAAATATCTAAAAAACTATCAACTCACCAGATCACGCTCTTCGAACTATGTAGTTTGACTAATCATAATATCTTGACAACATATTCACAATGGCTTCCAAATCATTGAAACAAGCAACGATATGGTTAAGAGTATTAAATGATTTTATGTCGATCAAATCCTGAGTTTGGTGAATATATCGACCATTACCATTGACAATAGTATGCATCTCCAAAGCATTTTCGAGTAGTGCAATAACTTCCTGCCGAACATTATCGAAAAATGTTTTGTAATCCAGTGTCTGTATTCGAATCCATTCTATAGCTGATGATCCTACACTTGAAAGCGCCATTGATTACTGTCACTCCACTCGATAAATGGATACACGAGGTTGTTCTGTGTTGCAATGTTCTTCTGTGAGTGTTCATATCATCTGTTGATACCTTGATATGTATGACCCGTATTCGAAGTTGGAAGCTGTATATCCATTTTTGGTCTCCTTGGAGGAGTTGATGAGTCGTCCATCACAGATCAACGAAGAAGTTTTCTCTTGACGTCATAAATTATCGTTACACGTGAAGATTTTACCACATCCTCTACATTCAAACATCACTCGATTCTACCTTCACTATCAAATGAAATTTCTCGACAAACGTGTAAACTTCGAGTCAAGCCTATTTGTAGGAATGAATTGAGGAGGGGATTATCTCTCCCCATCCGAGCTCATCATGTATAACGATTTCCTCCCCACTCTGATAAATAATGGCGATACTTCAATTTCGCGCTTCTCCAGTTAGTCGGGTACCTTGACTTGACCAGATAAGATGCATGCAATGGTGCCATAGTTAAGATAATGACAGCAAGAATTGAGGTACTTGTACATTTTTTCTGTTCTATTCTGGTTCCCACGAAAAGGGATATCCTGTAATGTTCAGAGAACATCGTGAGAACCAAGGGAAATAAGGTAGGAATTGGTATCCTTCTTAAATTTTTGGAGGTTATATGCCTCGGGGAACACCTCCCTTGGCAATATGTTCCAGAGCCTCGCTGTTCGTTGGATGAACGAGTCTTTGGAAAGAGATATTCTGCTGGTCTCCAAATTAACCACAAGGGGGTGCGAAGCCTCAACTCGACGGGTTAATCTCGCAGAGACTGTCAAGGGAGGAACAGTTGTTGATATTTCAGAAGAGCATCGTCCATTGAAAATATCTATAAAATAGAGCCGGATCGCCAACTTTTCTACGGTGTTCCAGAGAAGTGAGTGAGCTGAGCTTGTGAGCGAGGCATCACCCACGAGACGAATTGCCCTTTTTGAGACAGAATCCAACAGTTTCAGGGTATGTTTGGGTGCTGCACTCCAAATATGGGAACAGTATTCCAGGACAGGTCGGATCTGTGCCTTATAGATCATAAGCAGCTGACTGGAAGTGAAATAGCTTCTGGCCCGAAACAGGAAACCAAGTTTTTGGGATGCACTTTCAGCAATTATTGATCTCACGTGATTTTCCCAAGAAAGGTTATTGCTGATAGTAATACCAAGCATCAAAATGGATGTCTTCAAAGGTATGGTTACTCCTGACATACTTATGTTTGGCACAGTGAGATCGGCTTTTCTAGATAAAAGGCATGCTTGTGTTTTGTTTGCATTGACATCTACCAACTTATTGGATCCCCATGCGAGAATAGTTGCCAAGTCCATATTTATGTTGTCAACATTTCTCCCTCGTTCGTTTCTGATTTGCCTGGCTGGTATTGGAGCCCTGGAAGAGAAGGCGGTATGGAGGATACTGTCATCCGCGAAGCTGTGTACTGGACATAAAGTTGTTTCCCAAAAATCGTTAATATGGAGTAGAAATAGTGTTGGTTCTACAATTGATCCTTGCGGAACACCAGCATTTATGATAAGAGAGTCAGATGAAACTCTGTCGACCACTACATGGAGAGACCTGTTTGAGAGAAAACTGGCTAGTAGAGAACATAGCTGGGGAGGTAAGCCATAAGATGGAAGCTTGGCGAGGAGTCCGTGGTGCCAGACCCGATCGAATGCCTTGGAGATATCAAGTGTCACGGCTAAGGTTTCACCATATTTGTCAATAAATTGCTGCCATACATGTGAGAGACGGAAGCGAGCAGGTCACCAGTTGATCTCTGATGACGGAAGCCATATTGCATATCGTTGATAATACCTGAATGTTCCATGTATTTCTTGAGCTCGATGTTGATAGCTTTCTCCATGATCTTTAAAATAATAGATAGCAGTGCGATCGTTCTGTAGTTGCTAGGTAGGGTCTTTTAGCCTTTTTTAGGAACTTGTACTCTTGCAACTTTCCAGTTGGACGGGAGTATCCCCAATTTTTTTTTTATCGCTTGGAGCGCACGAAAGGGAATCCCTATAATGTTCAAAGAACATCGTGCGTTCCTAGGGAGGATAGGGACAAGAGGTAGGTATTGGAATTTTTTTTGAACTTTTGGAGATTATATGTTGTTGGGAATACTTCCACAGGCAATGAATTCCAGAGCCTAGCCGTTCTATGGATGAAGGAGTCTTGATAAAGTGCTGTTCGACATCTTTCGAGGTTGACAACGAAAGGATGTGCTGACTGGGCTTGTCTAGTTCGTCTGATTGGTATTGCTAGTGAAGGGATGATAGCAGAGATTTCCGAAGAACATTTCCCGTGGAAGTATCGATAGAAAAGTGAAAGGTCGCCGACCTTTCTACGGTGTTCCAATGATGTCAAAGAGTGAGTGAGTGTGGCGTCACCCACCAGGCGAATGGCTCTTCTCTGGATGGAATCTAAGAGCATCAGCGTATGTTTTGGTGCTGAACCCCATATGTGGGAACAGTATTCTAGAACAGGCCGTATCTGCGCTTTGTAGATCATGAGAAGCTGTTGAGGTGTAAAGTAGCTTTTCGCACGGAACAAGAATCCGAGTTTTTGTGAAGCAGCTTTTGCGATGGATCTGACATGTAATTATAGTTGAACAACTTGCAGAGAACAGGTGTTAGTTCGGGAGCACACTTCTTGAGAACAATCGGTGGGATTCCTTCGGAGCCACAAGCTTTGTTGGTGTTGAGACCCAATAAAATCTTATAGTACGTTGGCGAAAGGTGATCTCGGGCATATGACTGTCAATTGGCGTTATGTTTGTAGGTTGTTTTCCTGATGAATCAGAGTGGAATTTCCAGCAAATGAATACGCAAAAATGTTGGCTTTCTCCTGGGCAGTTGTGGCTAGTGTTCCATCTTTCTTTGTTAGAGGAGGAAACGAGCTGGAAGTGGAGTTTCTTCCTACAGCTTTGGCGAAGGACCAAAATGAACGGGACCCGTTAGGACATTCAACAAATTTTGATCTTATTCTGGCATTATGAGCTTCCTTTGATGATTGTCTCATTGCATATGCCTCTAGCCTCGACATACATCATGATATACGTATGGTTACTTAGTAACATCTTCTCGAGGTCATCATTGAAAAAAAAGTAACTCTACGTTCATTACATACAATCGCAACATACTACATACTACTTACTCTTACCAAACTCAGTCATATGACTTATGCATTATTCATAAGGTCTTTGAGTTCTGTGATCGGAACAAGTACTCTCGACCTTGGCCAATCTCTGTCTCTGGTTTTCAGGATGATGAACGCGATAATTACTCGATACATGCATGCACTCAAATACACTCATATTATACTCAAGGTTATATAACTTATTCTCTGAATGCAATTGAAAAAAGTAGCCTCGACCTTGGTCGATTTTAGCCTCTTTCACTGTGTTTGACAATTTCACCTACCTATTTATCAATTTCCATGAATATTATATTGCATTGATTGAATGCAATATCCTGTGTATAAAATTTCATTTTCTGTTGAAAATGTGCGTGGTCCTTTCAATTTTCGTGGAATATCATAACCACAAGAAATTTTGCATCAATCTAGGATATACATATTGCTATGAAATTGTTGTAGTCTAATGAGTACACACATTTTTCTACTAACTGAATGATTTATTTCCAGAAGACAATGATCTACACTTCACTGTATTGTGGTCACCATCCCGATTCCATCAACTGGTTTTTTATGTAATTTTAATCATTCTAATATTTTTTTCATCTTCTGCCTATGTTTGTTATACTTGCATTTGCAATATTTTAAGGAAAAGAAGAAATCCAGCAAGGTTTTAGATTGAATTGTGTATCAGTGTCAGGTTATAGGTAATCACATTATTGAGGCTGTACATCCTGACAATAATTGTATACAAATCAAATTTTATTGAATGTTTCAAGAGCCAGGTTCCAAACTTGAATGATGATTTTAATTTTATTATGTTAATAGTTGAAGCTGTATTTTATATTTTTAATTTTTTTGTATACCTATTGAAGAATATCGAATATGTTATTGTACTTTATATACTTTATTGTTATTATTATTATTAATTTATATTATAATTGTTGAATAAAACTGGTCTATAAAATTTTTGTAAAATTATTTATTTCCTTTATAAATATGAGCTAACACACCTAAACTATGAATAAACATATCAACATAACTCTTCAAATAAGTTTTTATTCAGTCCAAATGTATCTATGCAAACCTAAAGGGTGATTGAAAACTCGATTACCACATCCGTACATGGTTTGGTTTCCAATATAATAGGTTGTTGAAGTTGAAAGTGATTTTTTTCCTTTCCACAGGGGATTCAACAAAAAAAGAGAATAGTAAATACTTATCTACGACCGAAAATTATTGTGTGCTACTTACCTACTTATTTTGGTTCGAGAAATACGAGACTGATATTGAAAATGTCACAAGTTTCATAGAATAAATATGACATAAATATAGTAATTAATAGTTTATAATTCTTCCAACAGCAAAGGAAGGGTGAAATTATTATACCACCAAAGAAATTGAACATTGAGGCTTATTACAAAAAAAGATTCATTTCGGATTCGTGTTCTACGCCCCAAAGTATGAAAATTCTGGAAAAATTCGATATCGCTCTAAAATTATATATTTTTATTTAATATCTCGACAACTAGTGTTTTTATAAGTCCACTTCTTTTTGCAACAAAACTTGTCGCACACACTACTGAGTTTTTCCTACTACGATCCTGTTCATTGAAAGTGTTCCCCAGGCGTAGTACATATAATGGATCAGTAGTAAATAGTACTTATAATGGATTAGTTCACTGCCGATATCTCGCATTTTGATAAACTATTTCGGGGTTCTTCCCTTTACGATTTGAAATAAACATGCATGTTCACTACTTCATAGTGATTGTGATAATTCACCAGAATCTTTCGAATTTTTGTTGATCCGATTCTCTAGTCAACTTCGACATCCTCTACCACCCTATATAATTTTAATGATTTCTAGGTTGTCAACATATAATACTCACCTACATATTATGAGAATAAAATCAGAATAAAAATACCATATCACATCATTTAAGGTTCATATAAACTCAGAAAATCTAACCACATGTGGAAAATGAAATTTTTGGTTTGTAGTCGCTTTGTAAATTGTACAGTTATCATCTGTTACTCTGTTAGTAATATGGGCAGCTGAAACTATAAAAATATCAGCACAGAAATATGTTGGGAAAAATCTCGAATAGAGATTTTGACGATATTGATGACATAATTAAGACAGGTGGTGCTGTGACCGTTCAAAAAGAAGTCGACGAATGCTTTGTTTCCATCTGAACCATTATGTCTGCGAGAATCGTTTCACATCAATGACTAGATAAACATATAGTTTGAAAATGGCAACGAAACAATGTCTATTCGCTTTGTATGTACTTCAAAAGGGTCTGGTTTTCTTCGCCGTCCGAAGTCTTCACTTCACTCCGGTCAGTGAACTCCAACTTGTTACCAAACTGTTACTCACTTTGATCGGGTGCGTAGCGCGATGCCCAATTCCCACCATGCCCACCTTCATGTCGACGATTACGAAGATTGCGGAAGAGCGCAACGTTGCCAGGTTATGAGAAATTTTCAGAAAACACAAGATTTCCACCACGCCCATTTTTCATAGATTCCCTCGATGCCCAATTCCTACCATGCCCACCTTCCATAGATTCCCATCATGCCCACTTTTCATACATTTCCACGATGCTCAGTTCCTACCATGCCCACTTTTCATACATTCCTGCGATGCCCAATTCCCATCATGCTCACCTTCATCATGGTGAGAATCCAAAGAAGGTGGGCATGGTGGGAATTGGCCATCGTGGGAACGCATGAAAAGTGGGCATGGTGGAAATTGGGCATCGGGTGAATGTATGAAAAGTGGGCATGGTGGGAATCGGACATCGTGGGAATGAATGAAAAGTGGGCATGGTGGGAATCCAAGGAAGGTGGGCATGGTGGGAATTGGGCATCGTGGGAATGTATGAAAAGTGGGCATGGTGGGAATTGGTCATCATAGGAATTGGGCATCGTGGGAATATATGAAAAGCGGACATGGTGACAATCTAAAGAAGGTGGGCATGGTGGGAATTGGGCATTGTGGGAATGTATGAAAAGTGGGCATGGTGGGAATTGGTCATCGTGGAAATTGGAAATCGTGGGAATGTGTAACAAGTAGGCATGGTGGGAATTGGGCATCGTAAGAATGTATGAAAAGTGGGCATGATGGGAATTGGGCATCGCAGGAATTGGGCATCGTGGGAAAATATGAAAATTTGGCATGGTGGGAAGCTTGTGTTTTCTCAATTTCTCTTGACCTGGCAACGTTGCTCTCTTCGGCAATCTTCGTAATCGTCGACATGAAGGTGGGTATCGTAATAGGGCATCACGGTATGCTCCCACTTTGATCTCAGTCATATAATATTCATGCATTCAATGTCATGGAGATGACCCCTTAACCACATTGGTACCACCACGCGTGAGCAATATTGGACATCACTGCCATTGTCTATTCTCGAGTATATCGACCACGATTCCAATTCCTTTCACCACTCAATGAATTCTAGGCGGTCCTGATGATATCCATTATAAAATCGGATCACTAGAATATGAACCACCTGACTAATATTTAGTGGCTTGGCACCTTCCAATCCCGAGAAAATAATTGAATAAAAATTACCGAGTTGTAAATTGAAGCCTCAGTGTTTCATAATCTGAGATTGCAGGTTCAATCACTTCATCGAATACTACAAAACAACATACTGAAAATTCATGAAATTTCGCCGAGAACCATTTTGTCTGTAAGAAATGCGTGGTTCTCTTGTGATTATTGTTCTTTCTTCAATTTTCGTCAATGTCAAAACCGTATACTTACCAAAAAATGTATGGAGAATATAAGAATGTTCCGTCGAAAGTGACTCATGTTATTGAAAAAATTGACTTCAAATAAAATGGCATCGAAAAATAGCTACAGTTCAAACCAAATTTTTGAAAAAGTTTTTGAATGTGCGTTATTCTCTTCCGAGTTTTATATGAACTTCAACACCTATTCAAATAGTTAGGAAAATATTGTGTTTATAGAGATAAATAGATATGGCCACCCAGAGGAAAGTACCCCAAAGATTCATAAACAAAAAAGTGGCATGCGTATCCTCCGTCGGTTTCCAGCCGAACGGGAAAGTGTCCTTCAGAAGGTCGTGGCCCAAGTACAGGGCAATCGCGTTCATGCCGGGATAAAACAGCGGCCTGCCTCCCCATTTCTTCAGGATGTCGACTAACAAGAACAAATACGCTTGGATGATGAAGGCCATCCCGGCCGTGACCAAAGTGAACGACAGCGACCATAGTTGTTTGTTGAGAGGGATTGGGCCGTCGTCTCTTTTGAACAAGCACAAAATTCCTCCGATAAGGCCCTGAAATTGTTCAAACGTGAGGCTTTTCCGAAGCGAAAGCTAGAAGGGTTAGATTTCTTACAATGCTGATGCCCCAAATGTTCCATCTTATCATTTTTGATTTCACATTTTGGTAAGTGTTTGAAGTTCTTCCAGCCTGTACCCCGAGATATACTGTGAGAATTGAGGTTAACGTCCCTAGAATACCTGGAAATATAGATGATTTGTTTTAATACAGGCCAATTCACATAGAAAAAAATTGAGTAGTCGGTTTTATCATTGTTCCCTATGTATTTTGGGATGCTGAATCCGAATATGGAGTTATGCATCAACAAAAACAGCAAATGTACGCCATTTTTTGGTTTTTCGTGTATACACTCACCAGCAAAATAATCGACCCACTCAAAATATTGATACAAAATTTGATCAACAATAACTTCGTTAATTCAAGTCTGATTTATTTGATTTTCTTTTATTCCTCACACAAGGTTGAGATTTCAAGAAAAAAGGCATGCCCCCAAATTATACAGAGTGACACAAAAAGTGCATTTCAACGACAATTTCAATTACATGCTGTAATTTTCCATTTAATTATCAAGCTGCGTTTATAACGTACGTTTTCTTTTTTTATTTGTGCCAGTAACTGCTTTTTGGGAAAGTTACAAGGGTTTCAGAAAAACGTTACATTTCTACATGATAATAACAAATATATGAAAATAAGGAATGATGAACATAACGATTGAAATCTGAAAATTAATTGAAAATGCTTATGACCTCAGTAAGACGTGTTTGCTCCACGTGCAGGAATAACTGATACAATTCGTCTTGGCATGCCCATTATCATATTTTGAATATACGTCTGATCAATTTGCTGCAATTCTTCAATTAAAATTTTACTGAGTTGCTGTAAATTTGCAGGAGCTGGTAAACGAGATCGTACTTTTCTCCTAAGAGCATCCCAAACATGTTCAATTGGGTTCAAGTCTGGGCTTCGAGGAGGCCAATTCATTACTGGGATTTCAACATCGGCTAAATACTCATTAACAATTCTTGCAACATGCGGTCGGGCATTGTCATGCATCAGCATGAAATCGTCTCCGATGAACGGCGCGAATGGAACAACATGTGGTTCTAAAACATATCTTGTATATCTATCAGCTGTCATGGATCCGCTTTCTACTATGACTTAGTCTGCCTAAGCTTCAAAACTCACGCCACCCCACACCATTATCGAACCGCCTCCGTAACTCACTCTTGGCGGAAAATGGTTTTGGAGAAAACGTTCTCCAGTTCTTCTGTAAATTTTTTCACGTTCATTCGGTGATCTGAGACAAAACCTTGACTCGTCGGTGAATAGGATATTGCTCCATTGTTCATCACCCCAATATTCGTGTTCCCTAGAATATCTGAGGCGTTTTACTCGATGGTTCCTCAATAACTCTGGACCAGTTCCATGTATTCTTGCTCGGAGTCCAATATCGAAAAGCCTTCTTCTTATTGTTCTATCGCTGACTTGAACTTGTCTCACCTCATCTAATTCGTTTTTCATTCGTAAGACCGAAACATTGCCTTTCTGATTGTGTAACAACACCATTATAATTTGTGAGATGACTTCGAGCATTCCTTCTTACTTTGATAATAAATCTAAGTTTATCCACTCACCTTCGTCACATGGCGTTAAGAAAATGAGGGTGAAAGAGTAACATTTGTTTGTCCCTGTATAATGTTCAATGCCATCAGCTTTTCATGGGAACTAGAATTCAAGCTAACATCCCGATACATAAATCTACGATTTGGTCAGAATTTTACCAAAATCGAACAAAAATTGAAATTGATCAATTTTGCAAAAGTGATTTCTCAAAACGTCCGGCAGTTGGATATGTTTGAGGTGGCCATTCGACTATATGTGAATACCAACATAACTTGTAACAAGCAACTCATAATTCGAACATACAATCTTAATTTATTTGTTGGTCCCTTCAGCGTTTTTAGAAACATTATATGTAAGCAAAAATAATGCAATCAGAATATGTATACAAACCTGAGAAATCTAAAACTTTGATACCTCAGGGAATGGAAGAGTTTTTATCTTCTACAACCAATTTTTGAATTGACTCGACCGTTACTTGATGGAAATCCATGACAAATGTAAAAACTTCACAAACGATAAGATTTCCACAAAATTCTCAAACACATGACATGTTTCGCTAACACAGTCGCTTCGTCAGGTGATACTAGTATAGATAGAAATTTTTTTGAATGAGTGGGAAAAAAGATTAAGGAGGATCACATTAACAAAACTAGCCATGTGCATACATACAAACGAAGAACATATACTACTACGCTCTTTGAAGAGTGAGGACACGCTTGTCATGTTGTTAAACAGCTGAACAAAAAACATGTCAATATTATATCATTGAATGTATTTCTATGGAATGGATATTGGCATTTGAAGCTCTATATCTTGAAAAAATTTCAATTCGATACTGAACAAGACATATTATTTGAAACATTTTAGCGAGGACGCCTATTCAATTTTCAGAACCGACGTTTTAAATCTGAGAATGCTGACAATTAATGTCAGTGGTGACAAGCGTGTCCTTCCTCTTTGATGAGATGTTCAAAGCACTCTAGTCAACAAATAGACCCTCATACCTTCTGGATCATAGAATTCCGTATTTTCATAAACTCTTTGGCAGGCAGCGTGTTTGTACATATGATTTCCGAAGATTGCACGATCAATATAACCTGCTACGCCACCGGTGCAGTTGAAGAATCGTCCGTTCATATCCAGTCCCCCCGGCCCCATATAGCCTCTAGGACATCCTGGCACTTCGGCCATCAATGTAACAGAAGTGTGAACAGCTGTCAACGAGATGACTACTAACCATTGACGCCAAGCAGATGTAATGTCTTGCAGTAGAGAAACGTCCTAAAAATGGGGTTGTGCACTCTACAGTGTGTCCCACTCACCATGCTTACCATGGGTATCTTTTCAACGATGAGAGATACGAGGTCGGTTAAATGACACCAAATGTGGAGTTTGTCAAGGCCAACTATAATGTGAAAAAATATTTTGATAAAATCTAACCGTTTTTGTTTTATACGCAAAAAACAGATTTTGATCATTTTCATGTCTCCTCCGTAACTTCTTTATTTATGAAAATATTCAAATAGGAATCTCACATTCTCATGGCAGTTTTTCAAAGTGATTTCGGAAAAAATATGAAATTTATACCATTTCTTCTTGAGATATCAGCACCAACTTTAGTTTTTCAAATGTAGGTCATAGCTCACTATGACTTAGTTACAAATAACTTTTTTTTCTCTTACCGATGATATGTCGCAGTAATAGTTTTGTGTTGATAACAACGAAGTTATCGTCATTTATACAAAAACAAAAAATTATTTGGAAGCCGCCATCTTGAATTCATAAATTTTAACAAAAAAATCGTGATCTCCGACCCCGAAAACCCCCACTCACCAATTTTGAACAGAATCGGACCAAATCTTGTCCGCCATCTTGGAGCAGTCATTTTATTTAATTTCAACAAAAATTCCGTATTGTATTGTGGACAAGATTTGGTCCGATTCCATTCAATATTGGTAAGTGGGGGTTTTCGAGGTTGGAGATCATGATTTTTTTGTTAAAATTTATAAATTCAAGATGGCGGCTTCCAAATAATTTTTTGTTTTTGTATAAATGACGATAATTCCGTTGTTATCAACACAAAACTATTACTACGACATATCATCGGTGAGAGAAAACTAACTAAGTCATAGTGAGTTATGACCTACATTTGAAAAACTAAAGTTGGTGCTGATATCTCAAATTCTAGAAGAGTTGGTATAAATTTCATATTTTTTTCGAAATCACTTTGAAAAACTGCCATGAGAATGTGAAATTCCTATTTGAATATTTTCATGAATAAAGAAGTTACGGAGGAGACATGAAAATGATCAAAATCTGTTTTTTGAGTAAAAAACAAAAACGAAAAGATTTTATCAAAATATTTTTTCACATTATACTTGGCCATGACAAACTCCACATTTGGTGTCATTTAACCGACCTCGTATCTCTCACCGTTAAAAAGATACCCATGGTGAGCATGGTAAGTGGGACACACTGTATAGTCGAATTTACGCTATACAAAGTGTCCCAGAACAAAGTACCATACATTTTACAAAGACCGAAATAGGCCGATTGAAATCAACTTACCTCCATATGCACCGTTGAGCAGTGAAAGGGTGATGAAGAACAATTTTATTCCCAAATTTTGTTTATTATTAGCGCCTAGTGGTACCAAATGGTCCCACAAGCCATTGAACCATTCGAACGCTGTGCCAGAGCAAAATATTTGCAAAGAGGGGAATTATTCTTGAACAGTGTTTTGTTTACATGTATCCAGTTACGCAGCATCAGTTTTGCAGGTGTGATAATATTTACTGCCAGTTAGTGGTGTAATAAATGTTTGGTGTGATTTCAGATACGAAAAATATGGACATTCATTTAGTGTAAGTTTATTTTGAAGGTTTTTATTTATCGCAGCTAGGCTGAATGGTTAATTATACTGCGACTAAATATAGAGGCACATGATGATCACTCAAGTTCTCAAAAAAGAATGATCAAATATTTTTTTCTCCAAATGACATTAAAAGTGGCTTTCTAATGACACTCAACAGGCAGAAAAGGTGTACTTTTACTGCCTAGGCAGAAAAAGTTTGTTGCAACGTTCCAAGAATTTGAATCAAATTGGTAATCAGAATTGACAATGACTGGGTAAACAAAAAATGATGGGTTGTTTGGACTTTTCGTGAAATTGAAAAGAATTTAGAAAAAAAGAATATGTTTCACATGGCAGAAAAGAAGGTGTAATGCCTTTCCTAGTTTCCTAGCCTAGGCTATGAAACGCCAGCCGCGGCATTAATTATTGTACTCTTTTGCCTAGTAAAACAAATAACTATTACATTCCCATATGGGACCACTAGGCGGGTTTTAGAACAAAATGAGAAATAATATATACATACTATTCATCGATAAAAATGAAGGACACCAATGATGCATTATCGTTTTCAGTGGTTTATCGCTGAAAGGAGCATTGAATATTGGCTACGAATCGGGCAACGAAGCAGAGATGTTTTGATGTTTATATAAAGCCATCAGAATAGTGTACTTATTTTTCAAGACAATATGATTTCAGAGTATTTTTCTAGCTATCATGTAGGAGGAGTGAGGGCAAAAAGTGTTACTGGCCGATCTTTACGTGACTGCTAGGCGTTTCTTTCCAGAATGCTTGGAGAGATTTCACGAAAACTGTTCGCAATTGTAGCCAGTTAAACTTTAGAAGAAGTATTGTTCAGGTATACATAAGCAAAATCCAATATTCAAACTATGATCCCTTGCTTATTAGTATTATCTGATTAGGTACAAAAGCTCACCAAAGGGTAGACAGGACATCATGACCTTCAGAAGGCAAAATAGTCTCTGAAGATTTAATATTATTACACAAAGTAGGTCACTTTGTCATTTCGGTTCCTGAAGGAAAGCGAAAACGTTGTGCGTTTCCTAATTGCAGCGACAAAAAACGTACAATGTGTGAGAAATGTGAAGTTGGGATATGTATTGGATGTTTCAAAACTTTTTATAATTATTAAAGAGTTTGACATGAATATATTTATGACTTGTATTTCCATATTACTCCTAGTATCCATTTTGTTCTAGAAACCGCCTAGTGGGTCCATATGGTGACCCCCCACATCTTGCAAAGTACAGGGTGATTCACCATAAATGTCCCCCCCTTCAGCTCACTTATTTTTGAACCGTTTTAAAAATTTGAAAGATGATCTAAAATGATTTTTCAGAAATTTTTTTCCCGTTGCATCAGAAAATACAGGGTGCTCGGAACAAACGATCTACAGAGTACTAATTGATTTTTTTAAATGGAACACCCTGTATTTTATTGTATTTTTAGATTCTTCCTGAAGAGCTGATTTCATCAATGCATCACACTTGTGGTTTAGCGGGAATGATTACAGAGATATAGGGTGTTTAAAATCTAGATTTTCCAACTTTAGGATTTTTTTGTGCCGAAACTGTTCATTATTGGTCAAAACGGCTTCCATGTTTCCATCTCAACTTTAGATTTACTATCTAGTGAAATTTAATTGGAACATATACAGGGTGGTTCAAGATTCAGAATTCTGGTCACCCTGTATCTGTTCCAATTATTAAATGTCAGTGGATAGTAAATCAAAAGTTGAGATACGGACATGAAAACCGCGTGACCGATAATGAATAGTTTCGTCACAAAAAAATCCTAAAGTTGAAAATCTTGATTTTGAACACCCTATATCTCTGTAATCAGTCCCGCTAGACCCCAAGTGTGATACATTGATCAAATCAGCTCTTCAGGGAGAATCTAAAAATACAATGAAAATAGGGTGTTTCATTTAAAAAAATCAAATAGTACCCTGTAGATCGTTTGTTCCGAGCACCCTGTATTTTCTGATCTAGCGGAAAAAAACTTCATCGAAAATCATTCAAGATGATATTTCAAATTTTAAAATCGGTTCAAAAATAACTGAGCTAGAGGGGGGGGGGACATTTATGGTGAATCACCCTGTACACAGATGTATCAACAAATTTTGCTATCAGACACCTTTTCTATATACAGGGTGCACGGAAATTATGAGCAAAAAATCAAGGGGGTGATTCTACATGATAAAATGAGAAATTCATTTCATGTACGTGGGCCAGGAAATGCATAGTTTTCAACATACAGTGTGTTAAAACTATTAAAAAAGATAGTTTTTTATGAATATCTCAAATGTCCTTCCACCGATTTCCTTGAATCATATTTTTTGTCATCAGGGGCTGATAAAGCCATTATTAAATTGCAATTATGAAATCCAGTGGCGTCCCGGGGGGCAAGCTACCGAATATTATCGTCAATAAAATGTGCGCCACTGATTTTTTTGAATTCTTCATCTCCATAACCTATTGAACGATTAAAAATACAAAGTTTGGTCACTTGAATTGTTTTGATAATTTGCTTCATTTCCATGGAAAAAAATTAATACCAATTTGATATTGCACAAATTTGTACCAAAAAATTTCTACAAAAACTGGGGTGAAAATAAATGCGTAATCAATATCCATAGACATAGAATGAGTATGAAGATTAATTTTCTTCAAATATTACTTGATACAATCATGTTTGACACACTCTGTATGTTGAGAAATATGTATTCTCGGTCCAGGAAGGCGTAGTTTTCGATAATACGAAGTGTGTCATACATGAATTATAAATATTTGAAGAAAATGTATCTTTATTCCAAATCAACGTCTATGGACATGGATCACACATTTGATTTCACCTCTGATTTTGAAGCAATGTTTTGCACAAATTTATACAATGAATTGGTATTTAATTTTCTCCACGGAAACGCAGCAAAATATCAGAACAATTCAAGAGATCCAAATGTTGTATTTTAAGTTAATCATTAGGATATGGAGATATAGAATTTGAAAAAATCAGTGGCGCACATTTTATTGACAATAATATTCGGTAGCGTGCCCCCCGGGACGCCACTGGATTTCACAATTACAATTTGATTATGGCTAAATCAGCCCCTCAAGACAAAGAATATCATTACCAAATTTCAAGAGAATCAGTGGAAGGATATTTGAAATATAAAAAAAAACGATTTTTCCTAAAAAGTTTAACACACTGTATCTTGAAAACTATGCATTTTGGACCCTCGTATATATGAGATAAACTTCAAGTTTTCTCATGCAGAATCAACCCCTTGATTTTCTGCGCATAATTTCCGGACACCCTGTATGTAACTTCAAAACCTGTTATAAAATACTGAAACTTTATGAAAAAAATTATTCAGGCGATAATGGGTTGATATTCCAAAATCCTTGAA